TTTCGTAGAAAAATTCGTTTCTGTGTACCTTCTCGTGCCAACGCCAGGTATACAGTTACTTACAATGAAACTGCAGCACAAAATAGGTATACAGTAGTCGGACGTTGTATCAAATGTAAAATGACTTTTCCAAATGAAGAGTATGCTTTACGAAGTGATGAAAGCTTCTGCCAACCAACTCAAGCTATTCGCCATCATGGAAGTTCAGACTTCTACTTACTAGATATTAACATATTCACTTTCCCTCTAGTTAATGTGCATTAAATATGGTTATGTGTCCATTAAAAAGTTGATAACTCTGCGGTTAGATTTATCACACAAGACTTGGAAATATGACAACGACTGCAATCACGACTATAAATGAATTGCCATTGCAGCGTACTGTAAACACTCCTGTCTTTCAGCATAAATATCGGGCGTTAGATGATTCTGTTTAGAAAGCATCAGGCTTCCACTTATTTATTCTGTATTTAGGACGGGTTATCCTGAAAATATCTAAGCTTTACCTCTTCATCTAAACTTTCTACAGTCGTCTACCTCAACTTATTTGCTGTCTCATTCTAAGTTATGTAGCAGTTTAATGGAACCTGTTAGGGAAGGAGTGACTAAAAACCTTCTAAAATGGGAGTGGCGCTACGGCAAACATCACTTATTTCACAACATTCATTCACTTAAATATATTGCTAATGACATCAATCTCCATGGCGCTTTGGACACACCACATTTCTTTTAGAGCCCTGCATATGATAGATTAAAGGGACTGTGCATTAAGGATGCAACCAAACAATTCATCTGTATACTGAAGAAACACCAGTTAATAGTATGCGGCAAAACAGCAATCCTACTAGTAATCACGAAACTCTAACTAACTGCGGTGCAAACAAGCTAATGACTTGTAGGGTCATTATGTTTACATCATCTCAAACCGACAATTTGCTAAACGTCAAATGTAAACCTTGCATTATCACAGTAATAGAAGAAAACAGTAAAATTAAATCTTGCACCTAATTTGATGCGGCCGATTTTTTGAGTAACCAATTCCTTCCAGCGATATGTATATATTCATGTGGTCAGTAGTTTCCCATGAGTAAATGTGGGTAACCACTAGTAACGTATCATGCAAGTTTAAAGCTGTAAACAATGACCCCAATGAAACCACAGTTCTGCTGCCTCGCAGATTTTTGCAAGCGACATTTTCGTCCATAAACTTTCTCCATTAGGACACTGACGTCTTTTTACAAGTATTTTTCAGCCTACAAATGAAATGTTCGCAATCTGTAATGCTTTTCTTGGTCAAACCCGATACTGTTCAATCGGCATGTTGTGTCTGCTTATTAAATGATATTTTAAAGTATAATTACATCATTATTAGTGCTGATTCTCCCTATCGTGGAAGTCAATAGCACTGTTTAAAAAACATTTTAAGAACAAAGTTGGTCATGTTTAATGACACTTTGTTAGACGTAAAGACTAACAAGGTACACAGGGTGACGAAGCCTAGACCACAGAGTCACACAGTCTTGATTGATTGTTTCCGCTTTGAATTCGACTGACACAATCCAGTTGATAAATGCCTAACTTGAATCCCTTTATTTATTGTAGGCTCAGCTTCAAGGATCATTATTTGTTCGCTCCATTAATGTATATTACTCCTCTGAAAATGCATTAAATGCTCTATCGCCAGTAAGTGTATCTTACTCCACAAGTGAGAGTATAAGAACTTTAAATGTTTAACCACCTGTTTGCCGTCACTTTACATTAACACTTTTACCAGCAACTTCAACACGTTTAAATAATATCTAAGATAAACAGTGGTAACCTAACCGGCATATTTTGGCGATCATTGTTTTGTTGTTCCGTGCTCTTACTTTCTCTAGTTGTAGATATTTATTGATAACTCGCTATGGCACTGGAAATAACCTTAAAGAAATACGTTCATAAATTATCAGGCTATCCACTTAAGAAAATATTAAAAGTTCCCTGGTGTTGCATTGGCTTTCCGTGATATATGCCATATATAAACTACTTATCAATTACTAAACCAGCAAACATAAAACAATCTTATATTTCATGTTTGTTCTCTACAGTAAATGTTGCTTTTTATATCAATCTGATCATGCCTGTAAACTGGTGTGAATTCTGTAAATATTATTTTGAGAATAAATATTATTATTATTATTAGAAGAAGGAGAAGAGAGTAAAAGAATATCTGATGTATCGAGGGACTAATCATAACACAAATAACAGTAATAATTATAAATACGAGCGTAAGCGGACGTCATATATTAAGATGAATAAAGATAAAATAAGATAGACGTGAAAAGTTTCAAAAGTTTCACATTGCTTTTCAGGCAATTAAATAGATGGTGGACATTATTTGTGTAAATCATTATCAAACAGATTGATATTCAGTCGATGACAAAATCCACTTTCGGAAAAAAAGCATCAAGAAGACTTCGGAAACAGGTTGTAGTATCATTGAAACGGAGGTTCAGTGGTAGAGTAACGAATAAATAAAACATTATGGCGTAAATTTGTGTGCGTTCTTGGAATTACAAGAATATTTTTCTTATTGAGCAGATTGTGGGACGGTACCATGGAGTATGGAAATACCGGTAATAAGCCGTTAGGTAAAGATAAGGTTTAATTTGATACGTCTGATCCTGAGAGGCTCTAATTTGAGTTGTTGACATCTTTAGTGACAGTCATTTTTGTCGGAACACCCCAAAACAGCTCTGGTGAACATCTTGTGAACACCTTCAATTTTAATCAGGTTATTGGGCTTGAAAATTCCACGACACAGTCCACTCGCGAAACTTGTTTACTTCTTGGATTACCGCTGAAATATAGCTTTCTTTGGAGGGAGAAGAGAATAAATAAATCACTTCCAGGTCATCAGCAAAAAGTAAAGGTTTACCATAGTGAAAGAGGGAACACATGTCATTGATAAAAAGGAGAAAGAGTAATGGGCCAGTCACCCTTCCTTGTATAACCCCGCTGGTTGCATTCACAGGTTTAGAGTAGCAAGATCCAAAGCGGTCAATTTGGCTGCTTTCTTCTAAAAAAAGATTTCAACCAAGATAAAATGGGATTCTGTATGCCAAATAAAGAGGGTTTTAGGAGATGTTTATGCGAGACACTTTTGAATGCCTTACTGAAATCGAAGTACAGGATAATCGCTGACTGACCAATATCTCGTCTCTGGGCACTTTGGTCAAAAGCTCCAGGTGCGAGGCTAAGCATGAGCGTTTAGTCATAAACCCGTGTTGGAATGGGCTAATCAAACTAGCCGGAAGCAAAAATGATAATAGCTCTTTGTGGATGATTTTTTCCATTTTTCTTGATAGCACGGACATCAAATTAATTGACAAATAGTTAAAAATATCACTACGTGATTCCTTTTTGAACCTAGTGGTGATTACAGATGTTTTCCATACCGCTGGATTGGTCCCATATTCCATAGATAGGTTGAAATGTCTGAAATAAAATAATGGGAATTCTCTACCACCATATTTCACAAATGATGAATGGATCCCGTCAGGTCCACCGTCATAAGACTTTTTCAGGGCAGTTATGATCTGCTTGACGTTGGAGAGTATGAAATCAGTTTTCGATAGGTGCCTGGATGTCATCATTGGAAATGTATTGATATAGCTTTCAGTTCCAATGTTGTAGCATTGAGAGAAATGCTGTCTGAATTGTTCGCAAATAATATCAGGGTCGTCAACCATGCTTCTGTTAAATATAAAGAATTTAGTCGTACCAAGAGGATTTGAATTCACACGGGATTTAAAAATCCGAAATATTTATAATTCTGGGCTATTACTACCTAGGGATTTATTTTCTATATCTATAAAATACTTGCGTTTAGGTGAAGTGTTTCTGTCAATTAAGTTAAGTTTACTCTGAAGTACACATAAACCATTATGCCCGTGGTAGCCGTGTTTTAATTTTCACAGCTTTCCTTTGAAAGTTTTAGAAGTATTCTGACCCCTATTAGCGTTATAAGTCACATGGCTAATAATTGGACTAGTGCAGTCAAGGTAATATATCGGGTTGTGTTATATATCATATGTCGTAAAATAAGTTTTCCATAGTAAACAACGAATAAGATTTTCAGTCCATTTCTAAGCTTTTTGATCAAAGTGTCTGCTCTAGTGCATCATTGCAGCTTTCGAGTTCAATGGCTTGTGAACCCTCTTCCTTAGTATCAAGTCATCAACGATCTTGTCATTGGCTGACAAAATGATGGCATGTGAAGCTGTGGAAATAAGGGTGACGGTTTATAGCTTCAAAAGCAATCTGTAAAATCACCCTTATTCTTCAGAATTCGCCTTCTGTTTATTAAGGCTCCCACTCGTATCATGATGCATACTGTCCAACAAGTACGGTATTGGGCTACCTGTTGTCCAGACATAAACTGACCTGCAAGTCAAGAATTAAAAACGACTGTGGACTTCTACGCAACAACTGCAAACGTTTATGATTCTTTTGGTCAGTACCTCAAGACCGTTATGACTCTACATGCAGTGTTTCTTTGACTTAAACTTCAGTTTTGTGAACAAGCAATAATTCCATCACCCTAGTAAACGATGGACTGTTGAGAAATACCTAGATAACCATAGCCAGTTCTATCCCTGGAATCACAAAATTTATTCTCCTTGCCGTATTGAAGTGTGATCTCAGTTTTTTGATTATTTAACAATAATTTCTCACTAGCCATGCCCTAACTATACTTGCATTTCAAGGGTAGGGATTAGCAGGGACTCTATGAGAATTTCACAAGACAAAATCAACTCTCAAAAGACCAGTGACTTTCTTATAGAACTGTAAATCAGTGGAACTCCATACCTCAACACTTAGTTGAGAATCTAATTATGAAAGCACTAAAAAAGGTCTTATTAACTGATGGATTTTCATATCAAGTACCGGCATGAACCACAAAGCTTCTTGTCTTCCTCAGAATATAACTGAGAACAACTATATTGGATATTGAAATGGTCAGGTTTTGCGCTAGTAGGCACACATTTGGATCTAGTTGTTACTTCCGTAGCTTCACAAGTTGGTTGTAGGATTGTTTTTCCCACTTTTTTTGGTAAAGTGGATATGCTTTAGCTTCCAAAATGTGCCTTTTGTATATTTTCACTCCTTATTTTGACTTAAAAAGTTTTCTGTGTGCAGACAAAGTTTTCACACACTCAGTCTCGCCAATTCCATGTTATCATAAGCGCGAACAGGAAGTATCATTAGCAGATGAAACATATGTCTCAAAAAGTCTTTGTCGAAATATTCCATGTAGTCTTCGGCTTTTGTTCTCTCCTATTTGTGCCAACCGAAAGCCCTCTAACAGTACTTTCCTAGTCACCGTCCTCTGTTTGCTCCGTATCATTAAATAATACATGTTCACTACAGTAGTATTGCAGCTTTTTCATTTCTATTCGAAAGGAATTTATTATGGTATCTCAGGTGTGTCGCTATTGTGCTTTCAGTCATTGTGGCCTCATACAATAGTGTTATTGTCGCAAGTGACACGAATAGTAACAGTAAATTGAAAAGTATCATGTCTGACAATATTGGCTTGTTACTTGTCAAGCATTCTCTCAAAATTTATTCATGGCTCATATTAATATCTGTAGAATGGTGACTGATAGATTCATTACTTGACAGCCATCAGTTGACACTAATTATTGTATAGTTTCTCCAAAAAACCTGATCAACAATCTGTTACTTAGAGTCCCTTGTCATTACTAATACGGTCAAGTTTTTGTTCCCTATAGATTTAAGTACATCTATTGGGGCAGTACTGTTCGTAAATACGGTTAATATTAATTTGCTTAGAAAATGGATAATATTGTGTACGTGAAAACCACAGTTAAATGTCCAGTTTCTGTCAACTTTTCGTCCCACTGCTATGAAGCAACAGGCCTTGTACATTTCTGTGATAAAAGACTAGTGTTGAAGTTCACTCTAAATTTACATCACACTTTTCACTGTACATAGTTTATCACATTGCTAAGGGTTCTTTGAATACAAATTTTACCGTAAGTAATTGATATTCTGTGGGCTTCACATGCCATTTAAAATTGCATATTTAACTAGCTTATTTTAAAATTATTAATTACTTTTCTCTATGCACGATTTATTTTCCAAGTTGTTTCCCCATTCAACTTGTTTTTTCATTGGTGTTTTTTCTCAAAAATTCTATACCAGAGCTCATCTATCGGTCGTATCCAAATGTCTTTAGATGTGCTTTTAAAATGTGATTTTTCGGAGGCAGAATTACCTTCTGATTGGATACAAAACGTTCTGTTTTCTATTCCATCTGACGTAAAGATTATTATCATCGGGTTGCACACTAGGATGCTTGTCTTTGGAGGCAATAATGTAATAATTTTAGTCATTTTCTGTAGAATTATCTCGGAACACTGAAGAGTTTACCCTACTTGGTGAATTAAAGTTTCAAAGGTATTAAAAGTATAAAATGTTGAATATTTTAGTTACATCAAAGCGATTAGTTGTTTATATTTTTCTTCGTAAGAAAATTTCCTAGTTAAAAGCAGTGGTTTAGTTTCAGAAATAGCAATGATGCTAGATGTGGACCGAATGTTTATGTTGTTGGACTTGAGAATGGCGAACTATTATTTCTACACGAGGTAAATATTCCCATGCTGTGATCCTAATTTTTGTTATATTTTCAGAATAATAAAATTCTTTTGTGCATCAAGACTGGATTTGATTCCGTTAGATCTATCCATTTAACTTCATGTGGCGTAAGTATAATTTTCCATCTTATTTTCAGTAGGAAAATTTATGTGTTTTATATAAAACGACAATCATTTACTTTAATCTTGACGATGTGGAAGGTGTTTTATCAAATAGCTTTACGTACTTGTCAGATTGTTCTCTCCAGTCTTATGGAAACACTACTTTTCAGTACACAATGACTATTCGTTATCGATTGTTGACAATTCCAACTGATGGTGAAAGCAGATATTTTTCTTGTTTGTGTAAGTGTGAATTTTTCAATCAGATTGTTCTAGCGAAATATCAGGTGGGGATTTTCGATTCATTGGTTCGTAAATTCGCTTTTGAATCACAATTGCGAGATGATAAGATGTGTATTTCACCCATTCAGACTAGGTGGATAACAGCTGGATCTAATCCTTTCATCAGCTTCAGTTTTTTAAATGAGGTAATTTTTACTCCTTCAAAGTTATTTGTAGCTAGTTTAATAATTGTTCTGGTATTTATGAGGTCTTTGAATTCTGTATTTGATTCCTTTCATTTTCATTTGTCAAATATCAAGCTTGAATATTTTTCTTGCAGAATGCAGACCCTGAAGTCTCTCATTTTGCATCTTTTGTCTATCAAGAAGCTAAGCGTGCCATGTTCGGGATCAAAAAGTGAGTAGAATGTCTTCACTTTGCTTCTCACCCACTGTTTTTTTTGTGTGAATAGTTCACTTTAAATTACTTCAAATCCGCTTTTGTGATACGTTTGGGAAATACCTTTGTTTTTAATTCGAGTTGCACATGAAAGTCCATCCTTCAGCTCGCATCTGTGTCAGCTTAGTTATTCACAAACAATGAAAGTGAACTCAGTATTATGTGTATGGTATCGTTATTTTACAGTGTTAAGTACTCACAACAACTACTAGATTACTGCCATTGACCATAATTGAATCTACATAGTTGCAAGTCATTAAGTCTCCTTCGACTTAGTATTCTACCGCGTATTATTCTTGGACACCACTTCAATAGACTGGTTCCAAACTCAAAATATGACTTGGATAGGAACGTGAATATATTCCAAATCAAACACTAAGTTAAAGTTAATTAGTAGAAAAACGTTATTGTTTGCATGAAATTCAGACAGGAATATACTAATCTCATCTCATCCACCAGTGCTGATTGGTTAAAAATGTGTCAGTTAGCGCACTCCAACGTTATCTTGTCTGAAACATGTATCAATCAAGTCTCTATTTTGTTGTTTTATATATGTTATCTCGATGAAACAATGCAAAATTAGTCCACGGATTTTTAGGGACTGCTAAGTTGTTGACTAACCAGTAGCTTGAGATATTTGGTATCATGGTTCAGAATCAGTCATTGTTGTCTAGGTGAATGCTCACTTTATTTCCTCCCAAGTAATGGGCTTCAATATTCTTCATTTTTAATCCCTCTAATTCATCCATTTTCGAACCGCACTCTTAGGTTTCCGTATATTCTCTCTATCAGTGACATTACTATCAGTTCTACTCTTCTGCTATTTATATTGTTAACTTTTTATCACCTGTGTTGTTATGTTAATGGCAACTTTATCTGACGTACATCTGTTCAAAACTATTTGTTGATCATAACTGATTGCCCACTTAGTTACGGATATTTCTTTTCATTGCTTGTTTTATTGATTCACCTACAGATACTCTAGTAATGATCCAGAATCGTTAGTTGTAACATGGTCACAACAGAAAGATAGCTTCATGTATCCCACTACTGTGTGTAATTCTCTTTCCAAGATCCCTTTGAGTTTGTCTCATGGGCTGGCTGACAGTCGTCGCCATATATTATCTTCCGGTGTTGCTATTTCACCTGACCATCACTGGTTAGCTATTCCCGATAGCCTTGGAAGAGTCCTTCTCGTGGATGCTTGTAGAGAGCGTGTTGTACGTATGTGGAAGGGTAAGTGACCTGATTTATTTTTATCGCTTTTTCAGTAACGTTCTTCACCTTGTGTATACCTGCGTGTAAAGTACTATTTCATGTGTTCAGCTGATGTTCATGTTTATTTCCTTTACTACATAAAATATTTATAATGCAGTGACGAGTGCAATACACATATTTGGGTCTAAATTGACAATGATTTACCGTGAATAATAATCGTGTTTGTAACAGTTAAACGCAAATCTAGAGTGCTAATTCGGTGTTTTAGTCTGATAGTCCAGACTGTGTTTCATTGTCATTTTTCTCTACAAATTTACTTTATTTTCTGTGCATTGGAGAAATGAATGGTAACAATCAAATACTCAATCTTATTCTGTGAAAATAATTTACGGCCACGCGACCAACCGCTCTGTGACCGCCTCCCATGTCTTCTCCCCGCCAGCACCGCCCAGGCTGTCATATACCACCTTTGCCCTGCCTCTCAGCAGCGTCCCCAGCACCACTTTCTTCGCCTTAAGCTCCTTCACCCGCATCGGCTTCGCCATGGCCTCGAATTCCCTCGGCCATGGAACGTTCATCTTGAGTAGAGGCAGCGACATCAAATGTAACGAACAGAAACACGGCCGGAGACGACCGATTATATTTTAAAACAAAGGTACTGAGTTATTTGGTAAAATGTGAAAACCATACGTTCAATCCTTCATTTGAAAAATGTCCATCAATTGCCTCAGACTTCATTGTTCCTTCATTTACATAACAATTACTCTCTGTTCCCGTTCTCTTCTATTCGATCTTCTCAATCTTCTGCTGTCAGGCATTCCATTTCTGATTGGCGTTATACACTGCTTATGTCGACATAAGTAGTACACAACAGTGTCAATAGCCTAGAACATGTCGACTGATGTAATGATTTCAGTAACAGGTGGGCGCAGGTGACACTTCAATAACTGACATGCAGCAGGTATCAGTTTAATTTCGAGACGACGTATTTGGGCCTCCCGATCAATAATTGCCTTGTTGCGACATTCTAATATATATTTTTGAACTCGCGCCTCCATCCAATATCCAGCCCTAAGAAGCACACTGATGATCGATCTCAACACGGGCTTTTTTCTTGTCAGTTTGTGCAGCTTCGAAATTCTCCACGAAGTTGGTATTACTTCGTTCCAGAAGTGTCTCAACCGGTCGAAACGCATTAGATCGCTTGTGTTTCTAAATCAACAAGTGATCTCATATATATCGGTAAAAGGTACCTCTCAATAACTGAAAGGTAGCTTTGAAAACTACAAAAGATTGTAATGTCTGAATATTTTTATTTACCCGTCCACGTTTCGAGTGAACATCAGACGGGAGAATAGTTGTAAGAGCTTAGATCGCAGTCTCTACAATTACAATTTAAGGTTAATTTCACTCAATTAATAACTTACCCTTTTTATGACATTGCGAATGAGGTGTACACAACATAAAATGTGGTGCGAGTCCGGACACACTTCTAGTATGGTATCAGTTATCGCCGGTGAGTCATCCGTAACAATACCAACCAACTCTCGATCGTTAGTTGAGCGCCTGAAGAATGACAGAAATCGTGACAGCAGAGCAGAAGTTTCATGACTTGTAAAGGCTATACAAACAGGTATTGCCATTACATTCATATCGAACACAACAATTTGATACACAAATAAATTTTCATTATTAGTTTTTTATGTCCCGTCAAAACCAACAGCATCAAGTAAACGACATGTCAAATTCATCTGATCGGCAGTTGCGAAGAAAAAGTACTGAAGATCATTTTCGTCACCAATTTCATGATCACAAAACCCACCAAGTGACATGATGTCAAATTTCAGCTTGGCGTAATCACCTACCATTTACAGTATAGATAGGCACATTGTTTACCTGGAAGGTTGACCTGTCAGAACACTTTGTGGCGTATGTTAAAAACATCTTGCGTGTTCAGGCGCTTCCCATAAGGTTGGTAAACGTAGTAGACAATATTGAATGCTGTTGTCCCCAAAATCAGCAGAGGTTGCACAGTTTCAAATTCCGCATCAGTTAACCTGCTCATCCAAGAATTGTTGTCGTACCTCAGGGGATCACACTCATGATTGTGATGCACAATCCCACGAACAGCAGTCCAGTAACCTTCAATAAATTTACAATTGATGAAGGCCGGATATTGTGTGTTCATTGAAGCCCTTCATGGATAATTTAATAACATTATTAAACGTACCTCCGTCTAATCGGCTGTAAAGATCCACTAGGTGTTCTAAGACCATTTTTCCAACATACAAATTTAATATACGGCTTCTGATTCTTATGAAAATGAAAATCGCAAACTGCATAATGGCAGTACGTCACCCTTTCATAATTTCTGATGTCTCTTTTTAACTCTTTAAGCGACTGGAACACTACCAGATACATTGTACTCAAAAACACATCCATGATCGTGACAACGTTTGAAACAATAGAGCTTGTACTTTGTACGTTATCGACGTTCATAATTTGGAGATAAAGTGATCAGTTGTGAAATAATTACCTTCTTTTATGTCAATTTTCAGAAGTGACTAACCCATTATTACCGTTTTTCAGTTGATCATTTAACTGAACGAAACAGGATGAAAAAATTTTAATAGTTGAATTCATGAGTCGAGTGCTTCCGTTCAGTACTTCCAGGTTTTCAATGGTGATCTAGCTTACATCTACTCATGAATTCAACTATTAAAATTACTACAATCTTCACAAACCCCATTCTAATGAGAAAAAAATTTTTACTAAAGGAAAATGCAAAAATAACCGCGAGATAAATCATACTAAAATTCTTCTGTTCTCAATAGGAAAGGTCTGAATATTCATCCAACCTGGACTGTTTATCCAGACAACCACATCTGACCTTCAGTTGGTGTTGTTTACTTGTATCTTCCCATTGTTATTTAGAACTTCAATTGATTAGTCTTATGTTGGCTTATATGCATCCTGTACGGACTGCCTCGATATTACCTGAAGTCATAAGCTTTATAAGCAAAGACGGTTAGTGGCTAGCAGCGGAATCCAGTTTGACGCGCGTTTCGTCCTATTCGGGACTCGACAGCTGGATGTACCTGCATCTCAGAGTTGCTGTTCACTTTGGGACTTGAATCCAGTACCGTTCGCTTCAAACGCCATTGCGTTATCCACTTGGCTACTGAGTACTGATCTGACCTTATTTATTTCCCACACTATCTACACACACAATTTCAAACCCACTATTTTTTTATTACAAATGCATACATTTTTTATACTCACCTTCTGACGCACAAATTGATACTATGACAGGTCATACAAATCCACCATGACCAAGAATAACTTGACATTTTCAGACCTATTATGATTTTGATTGTACTAAAAAAATATTCTGCATTATTATTTAAACTTGTGTTAATTTAATTCCGATTTCTATTTACTCTGAAGAAGTCTACATTAAGTCGCGAAACGTCAGAAGTACAATTTTCTACACATTAGGATGTAACAAATAATTCATTTATTATTGAGTGTCCACCCAATGTTCGTTTTATTTGAAACTATGAGTTCAAGTTTGTCATTGTTTTTTGCAATATTATATATATTATATATTATATATATATTATATATATTATATATTATATATGTATAATTGTATATTCATGCATAGTAAATACAATCATAGCGGTTTGAAGAACAACCTAAATTAACTTGAGTATTTCTTAATTTGAATTTTTTAAAATTTTAATTGTTATATTTCTATTAAAAGGGTCATTTATAAAAACATCTGACTTGAGAAATATATTAAATGCTATTAGTTTGGTTTTTGGTTTGTATTTATAACCTTCGCTATTAGGTTACAGAGATGCTGAAGTTGCTTTTCTTGAAGTATGTGACTCTGAAACTCCATACATTGGCTATCGTAATAAACCAAATAATTCTGTTAGAAAGACACTTTGTCTATTAATTCATGCGCCACATCTTCATTCATTGGAACTTTGGTGTCTAATTCACGGACCACGCATTGTTTCATGGGATGTTGTAGAACCAGTTCGCCTCATTCAAACTGAGCGTCAAAATTACATGAATACTACTAGATCAAATGAATTCAAGTGAATATTTGTATTTTGGTATTTTAGTGATTTATTTTATGCTTTAATGAATAATCATATTAATTCCAAAAATTATCAATCAAAATAATATCAGAACACTGTCACGTGCTTGAATATAATCACCGGGAATATATAGCCTCTGCCAGGGAAGTCCTACTCACTGCCTTCTCGCACCATGGGTGTTGTTTACGAAAGTGAGAGGACGAAAAGCGAATGTCCGGCGCTTTAACCGGGTTGGTGGACACAGAAAGTCCACCTAGGGGAGTTGGCAAACCCTGATTCCAAACCAATGGTGCACATGGGCTTGTTCCAGTATTTTGAGGGAACAAATGGCGTATGAACCAATTGATGGTCACCGGCTACCATGGGACTGCATCTCCTTACGATGCTCCACTGTCTTGTGGATCAGATCTTTAGGTCGAAGGCTCCGGGTGTGGCCCCCTATGAAAACCACCTGCTTCGGTTTGGGCACCCGGGCAGTATCACAGCCCACACACAAATGACATGAAATGACTCACTACACTAACTACACTGCTCTCGTTCCTAATAGAAGAAAGACAATTTACATTATGATGATGATTATTATTATGATTATTATTACCATTATTATTATTATTATTACTATTATTTACTACGTCGCTTTTTCACTCCCGTTATTCCCAAATTGTGTATCCTTCCTTTCCAACTTATGCAGCAGCTCTTGATGGAAACTCTGTCCTATCTAATTAATTTTTAATTAATTAATTAATTAATGGCTTTATTCAATATTATAATCTGGTGCAATATAGAATTCTCAGCACGATCTCCAGTCACTGTCTGGTTGAAAGTGAATACTTCCACCGATTACGAATACTGAAGCAGTCTTTCTGAAACCACGTACGCCGTTCAAGCTGGCTTCCTTCAACGTTCGCACACTAATGCAGATCAGACAACAGATAGGGCTGGCTATGTCTTTGGAAGGTCTTAATGTTGACGTTTATTGTTTATCCGAGACCCGTATTCAAGACTCTAGTGAAGTACTACAAATCCACTCTCCATCTGTCGCTTCGAAAAGCTTGTTTCACGTGCGCTTATCCGGGGACCCTGTGGCATCTTCGTCTGGTCTTGCTGACGTTGGTGTCGCACTAAGAGCTAGAGCTGAGGCAGCACTAATCGATTGGATCCCCAATAACAGTCTGTTATGTGCTGTTAGATTAGAAAGTTCCATCAAAGTGAAAAGAAATCGGCGTGAGAATCGGTGCCTTTTCGTCATCTGCGCCTATGCCCCGACAGATTGCAGCCCGGATGCAATCAAGGATGAGTTTTACCATCAGTTAACAGTTCTTCTCCAGAAAGCGCGTTCGACAGATATTGTAGTACTAGCCGGAGACTTGAATGCACAGGTCGGGCGTCTAGACACAGAAGAGAGTCGTTTAGGTGGCCGATGGGGACTTGTTGGTCGCAGGACAGATAACGGGGACCGTTTGCTGCAACTGTGCACAGACCACAACCTATTTCTGGCTAGCACTATCTTCCGACACAGTCATCGCCGGTGCGCCACCTGGCGTCCTCCCTCTGCATCCCAAGCCTGGACTCATATTGATCACATTGCGATAAGCTACCGCTAACGTGGTTGTGTACAAGACTTGCCGCTCCTTTTGGAGTACCTATCTGAAGTCTGATCATGCTCTGGTCTGCGCCAATCTCACCCTACTTTTCAGTGGCCGAAGGATTGACCTCCATCAACGGACCGATGTTAGTAAACTGGCTGCAACTTCTGTTGCAAGTAAGTATCGAGCGGAGCTAGCTTCTAGGCTAGCTACCATCCCACCGGAAAGTAGGGATGAGCATTGGTTGCATCTTCACGACGCCATGAAAATGGCGAGTAAAGCCGCTTGCGGCTTCGCGAAACGTCCCGCTTACAAGCACTGGGTTTCTTCTGGCTCCTTACAACTGATGGAAGTCCGTCGGTCTACTCCGGGTGACCGTGAGTATGACCACAAACGAAGGCTGTTACGTAGTGAAATCGCTCAAAGCTTGCGTAAGGACCGAGAAGCCTGGTGGTCGGAGCGTGCTAATGAGATGGAAGCAGCAGCTGCATCTGGTAACTGCCGGAAGCTCTTCCAACTCATTCGAGCTACTGGCAGCAAGAAGTCTGGTGTGAGTGAAACAATCTACGAGGATGATGGGATGCCAATCACTAATTTCTATCGACGTCTTGGACGATGGGCTGAATTTTTCGAAGGGCAGTTCAACTGGCCTGCTGCTCCGGCAACATCAACCAGTTTGTCCTGCCCCCCATGGCCGGTGACGACTGATCCACCAAACGATGCAGAAGTCCGCAAAGAACTCCAACTCTTGAAACGTTACAAATCACCGGGCCCAGATGACTTACCTCCGGCTCTTTTTAAAGATGGTGGTGACTTTCTGACTAAGGAATTGACTGTGTTGTTTGCAAAGGTTTGGGAGCAAGAAAGTGTTCCAACATTATGGAATGAGTCGATAGTCGTCCCTATCTTTAAAAAGGGTTCACGTTGTTCCTGTAACAACTATCGGGGGATAAGTCTACTTCCAATCGCGTCCAAACTATTGGCTTCTGTCATTCTTCGTAGGTTGTTTAAAACCCGAGAACGATTGACTCGCGAGGAGCAGGCTGGTTTTCGTTCTGGTCGAGGATGCATTGATCACACCTTCACCCTCCGCCAAATGTTAGAACACCGTCATACTTATCACAGGCCAACAATCGTAGTGTTTCTTGATATCAGGGCTGCCTTTGATTCGTTGGACAGGACTGTTCTCTGGGATTGTCTATTGAAGAAGGGTGTGCCTGAGAAGTTTCTTAACATCTTAAAGGCCCTGTATACGAACACCTCAGGCAGAGTGAGGGCATACAACCACCTTTCTCCCTTGTTCCATTCGAGCAGTGGGGTTAGGCAGGGTTGCCCGATCTCACCATTCCTTTTCAACTTTGCTATCGACGACGTCCTGGAAACAGCTCTGATGGATGTAAGTAATGGCGGTGTGGATATGTTGCTTGGAGAACTACTTCTCGACCCCCAGTATGCGGATGATATTGTCTTATTGTGCAATAATACCCAAGGCATGCAATCCGCACTTAATCAGTTGGCAATCAGTGTCCGCAGGTACGGCATGTGCTTTGCACCCTCCAAGTGCAAAGTACTTCTACAAGACTGGCAGGATTCTCATCCTGTACTCACCCTGGATGGTGAGCAGATCGAAGTAGTTGAGAAGTTCGTGTATCTAGGTAGCTATATAAGTGCTGGTGGTGGCGTGAGTGATGAGATTGATACACGTATAAGGAAAGCCAGAGCGGCTTATGCCAATCTGGGCCATCTTTGGCGCCTTCGTGATGTTAGTCTGGCTGTAAAAGGTCGGATCTACGACGCGTCGGTGAGAGTAGTTTTGCTCTATGCTTGTGAAACCTGGCCTCTCCGAGTTGAGGATGTTAGACGTCTCTCTGTGTTCGATCATCGTTGTCTCCGAAGGAGTGCTGACATCCAGTGGTAACACCATGTTAGTAATGCAGAGGTTGGGCATCGTGTGTTCGGGCGCAGAGACGGTAATTCACTTGGTGTCACCATCTTGAAATATCGACTTCGGTGGCTTGGACATGTTTTACGAATGTCGTCCCAGAGGCTTCCACGTCGTGCACTATTTGCCGACCCTGGGACTGGTTGGAAAAAGCGGAGAGGAGGTCAGTGTATGACATAGTGTCGTGGCATGAAAGAAAGCTGCAAAGGGCTAGCTTCTGTTGGTCCTTCACTACTCCCTGGCTGGGGTCCGAGAGATGGTGCAACACAGTGGCTAGAGACGTTATCAGATATGGCTGAGAATAGAAGCCAGTTGCGAACCTGCTGTAACCTTCTTTTACTTTCTACATAAAGAGTGGTTCTAACTTTCTTAACTGAAATAGTCTTCTGGTTGTACATTTCAGTCCGCCTTATCTTTTCATCCCTTCTCTTCCTACTTTCATTATTTTATGTGGCGCATATGTATCCGGTGCCCTTTGTACCAATATATATGTGTTTAAATAAAATAAAATAATAAAACCGGGAAGTCGCAGATCTAATTGTCGTGCTAGTTGGCACGTATGGGCGAGGCATATTTTACAGTCTTTAGAGATCTAATGCCCTTCGTGGAATCTAAATGACCTTAGCTTATTGACAATTAAAGATTTTACTGACTTAAATTGAAGTAGAAATATTTCATTAATTGGAGTCAAACAAATATTCCTTTGATTACCATTGTATATTCTATTCATTATAAATATCAAAGGATTCCTAACATTTAAAGTACAGAAATTAATTGTTCATATTCCCCTAAAAGTGATCATCGTTTAATCTTTTCGATTTATTTTTAATAAATATAAAAATTATAAGGAGCTTTATGTTGTCAATTGCAATATTATTTATTCTTTCATAGTACTTATGTAAGTCATAGTTTGTCAGTTTTAAGGTTAATTTTTTGCGATAAGATGCCGTCTAATTTCTACTTGAATATATCTGTTAAAACAATCAGTAATGTATAAGAACTTTCGTCTAAATTAGAGCGAATAGTTTCACAGTATTTGAGCGCCGAGTTGATGTAAGACAATAAATAGAAACAATGTATTTCTGAAATTTCAGAGAATGAATTTGAAGTAAATCCAACGTTTCGCCTGGTCCAAGCTTTTTCAAGGAATTCCTTGACGAAAGTTCTTATACATCACCGGCTATCATCGAACGTCGCTCTACTGCCTTGTGGACTACACCTCCAAGTTAAAGGTTAGAGGAGTGGTCCCCTAAGAAAACCACCTATTCCGGTTTTGGCGCCAGGGCAGTATCCCCGTCCTCACACGAATCGAATTATGACGTGTGGCGCATATATGTTCGGTGCCTCCTTGTACCAGTGTTCATGTGTTTAAATAATAAATAGTTTATACACAGTTATTATGTCATAGGATTGCCAGTACACAGTAAAAAGAAACTTCATCAATTGTCTTACAATGCTGAGTGCTAGGTCAGTTATCGTAGATACTAATTTCACAGATACTTTTGAAATAGAATCAGTTGTTTCGTTTTCTGTTTGTTGTATTCACAGTAAATTGTGTTATAATTACTTACAGATTATGTATTCAGATGAAAAATATGATTAGCTTCGTATGGTTTGCAAAAGGAAAACTTCACACTTAAAATAATTGTAAAACGCACAAGTGCTCTTTTGCGAGACCTCTCTCTTCCACATTCTAATTCAGCATCAGAAAACAGTCATTGTTACATATTCATAGTGTGTCCAAGCGGCTAAATCTGTTATTGTAAGGTGATCTCATCCATTGACTGATAGCAAATAGTGTCTAAGCACACTTCTGACCCAGTGATCTGTTATACGATCCTCGCATCATATGCTAGTAACACTAAGAGGAGTTGTAAATTGTTGTATGGGTACAGAAAAATTGGAAATTTTTCATCAGCCAGTCTTATTCTCCGTTTTATCCTCACCTCATGTTTGCAATTAGTTGTATTTCATATAAAGACAACGAAAGAGAATTCCATCAAATTTACCATACAACTAGAGGCGTTTTAAAAAGGATAAGATGTGCCTATTTGGAAATCTTCAGACAGAGAGTTAATTACACAACTAACCGGGTTCAGCAAATTTAGTCTTAGAGTTATCACTTCTGTTGGCTGACGATCGTTTTGATTGAGCTTAAGTGACGGGCTTCTATCAAAGAAATAAAATTAAATACTAATTATTTGTTTATTCACTTTTTATAGTTTGAATTACTACCAAGCGGTTTTACTCGACTCATCTGGATCCATTTACACAATTGACCTAAATGCAGGCCTTTGTTTATCAGATACTAATACAGAGGCAGCTGTAGACTATCAAGAATATAAAATTCTTCAGAAATTCTATAAAACCTTGGAACAATGTAGTAATAACTCAATATCAGGTAAGTTTACTATATTTTTTGGATTGATTTTTCACGTAGATTAACTTGGATCTTCAACTTATCATTTTTGTGGTTCAGACTTTGCAGTGCTAAAAATTTTATTTGAAAATAAGTTTAATTGATTTGAGATACCATTGACAAACGCCACTTATTTCCGCAAAGTGCGACCACAACAATTTGAGTTCTTCCTAGTCGTGAAAATTAAGTTTTTGCTTCATCACATACAATGTCTTAATGGTTTATTTCAAAAATAATTCTGCTGATACCTATTGCGATTTCGATTACCACCATCATTATAGTTATTGATAGCAATGACGACAGATATAATAAGTTTGTTCAGCGTTTATTTGTGTCCGGTTTATTTGTTTTTTAATTCTTAGTAGTTGGGAATAGAAATAAACTGCAGTCCCAAACATCCATAGTGAATTTAAACTTTACCTCATTGCACAAGCAGGTTGCTATCAGGATCCAGTAGATAACGCGATGGCGTTTGAGGCGAACGGTACTGGATTCGAGTCTCAAAGTGAACATCAACTCTGACATGCAAGTACATCCATCTGACGAGTCCCAAATAAGACGAAACGCGCGTCAAACTGGATTCCACTACTAGCCACTATCCATTTTTGCTTATAATGCTTATGAATTAAGGCAATATCAAGACAGTATGCACATATACCTATAAAAGGCTGACCAATCGCAATCCCAAACATCAATCGGAAGATACAAGTAAACAATACCAAGTGAAATTAAACTGTGCTAGGTTGTATCCATTTCGAATCATCCTCATCTTGTAAATAGTCCCATTGAATTGCGTCGCAGTAGTTCTTCTCTTATTCGCGCTTATTTACTAAACTGAATGACTTTTCGAAAAGTGTATCTTATAGTTAAATACTCATGAAATCTCTAGATCCCTTCTTACAAGGTGTTCTGTACTAGAATAAAATCATTCCATTACTAATACCTGCTGTGAATCGAGTTAATCTCAAGCATGGGGTTATGTAGATTGTTGAATCTCATTGAACCGATCATCTACCTACTTTATGCTATTATCTAGAGGTAGTACCAATTTGTTTATTTGTCATAAATATGAGGATGATTTTGTTGGTATAAAATTTCGTTTCTGTTTAAAATATTTATACAAGTTTATCAATTTTATTTTAGTAAGTCTTTTAATGTTTATTGAAATCAAGTTTGTATGTTCTTGTAGGTCTGCACTGTTCCGATGTAACCGATCTGTTGGTCGAATTTCGGACAACTCAGTGGTTTCAAAGAGCAATTAATTATTTACTAAACTATCCAGATCTTAATCCTCAAATGATTTTGAATATAGTAACACTGTATACACAGTTAATGGAAAAAGGTTAGTCTCAAAGATTTTGACACTCAAGCCATTTCCACCTTCCACATCAGTATTTTTATAGCATTGTTATACGTTTTCTTGTGTTTTACATCAGTTTACTAACTTTCTGAAAATTACAAACAAAAGATTAAATAAATCAAATGGGTTGGAAAACAGAAAACCTGAAGATTCTTAGTTCATTACTAGTATGTTTATGTTCGGAGGCAGGCGTTAGAGTTACGTGTTTTAAAATATTGAAGTTAGACAGAAACATGGGAAAAATTGTGCTGAGCATACTCTCCGTTTTGTATAAATAATTCTTAAGTTAAAAAAAAAATTATTTATATGTCACTAAGATTTTCCTTTTCATAATGTATATGTATGTATATCTTATTAAAATTATTCTGTTAAAGACAGTAGTATCATTTCCAACACATAATTGATTATTAAAATATGCTACAAAACAATCATACATTTTATGTTCATTTAGTATTGTTTGTTTGAATCTTACCATCGTTGTGTTAGGATTGTAACTGGTCAGTCTCTAATTGGCATATGTGCATACTGTGCGTATTACCTCGATATAGCCTTGGCAAGTGGCTATCACGACTCAGTGGCCGAGTGGATAACGCGATGGCGTTTGAAGCGAGGGTACTGGGTTCGAGTCCCAGAATGAACATCAACTCTGTGATGCAGGTGCATCCAGCTGACGAGTCCCAAATGGGACGAAACGCCCGTCAAACTGGATTCCACTGCTAGCCACTATCCATTTCTGCTTATCACACATTTTATGGTTTACTTGAACATTGCTTATTCGCTTTCTAATACAGTCAAGTTGTTTAAAGAGTTTAGTCTATGAGCTAAAATTTCTCAGTTATATTAATGGTGAGTAAAACGTCAAAGTAACAAAACGGATAGTTTGTTTTTAATCCATTTCTGTCTGTCTAACAACCTGTTATGTTAATTTATATAATGAATAATAGTATTCGATTATTTATGTGGTGCAGGTAATAAATTTTTTAAAACTCCATCTTGTTATTCGTTTAAGAGCTTTTGGATTTCTTTAATATAAATTTCATATTGTCAGAATATCTTTGGAATGAATAGAAGTCAAAGGAAGAAAGTTTTACTTTCAGATACATCTTCATAAAGTCAAGTAGCTTGAAGCTTAGTAACTGTTTTTAACAGTAGTGATTATACATATACATATATATAATAATATGTGGTAATGAAACTAAAATATGATTTAAAGCAATTAGTCCCTTTCGTAAATCTCGTAACTGTAATAAGAAGACGCAGATTATCAGAAGTATGTGATATATTAGCGCAATATATTTCGAAAAGTCTGATCGCACTGATCACGGACAGGTAGGCACTTAGCCTACTCACTTAAATATGTGATTCCCTCCCCTTCCATCGATTTCCACTCTGGACTTACTGAGTGTTGCTGCTTGTAACTGTGTTGAATAAAGTATTTATCTCGTGTTAATCTGGTTTGAGAATCCTGGATCAAATATAAAGTAACCAGTCTCATTATTGCATTAACGTATTACCTCAGTATACCTGTGTGTGTGAGAGAGAGAAAGAAATATTTTAAATCATCCGTTATATCATATAGTCACAGAAAACACCTTAATCATAACTGAAAATTAAATAGCATACACTATTGACTAAAACTACGTCTTTGTTATATCCCGATGAGGACATAAGTACGAGTAACTCCCAGGACCTATAAATGGACAATTATTCTATATATATTCTTATTGTTTAACTATTGAGTGATTAGATTCAATCTATACATATTCATCTTATTATAAGCTTCATTTTGACCTATGAATTATTGCTGTACGATTTACTGTCTCTAAATTATGTTCAGTTTATTTATTATTGTCTCCCACGTTCACAGGCACATTTGACTTGATCTTGTACGAATATTATTTTCTATTTTATGGTGTGATACGGTCTGTCTGTCTGCTATATAAACTGAGTATGTTTGAAATAAATGATTCGCATAGATTCGCGTAGCAGAAGCTGCAATTGGTGTTCTGGGCTCAATTGGAAGGGTTAGGCGGACAAGGAACCAATAAGGACGCTAGACTACTCATACTGGTCGAACGTCATTGATTTGTCACAGTGTTAATATTAGAGAAGTCGTATTTCGATTGATGGATAATTCACGTGTAAAAAGCCGGACATAAGATCAATAACGAATTAGCATATATCCTTATATATTTTTTTATAAAGTCATAACAGTCTTGATTTTCTATAAATTTGTTATTTTACAACTTTGTATTTTTAGACAATAACACTAATACTCAGGTGAATAACATAAATGTTAAAATTTGTTCAAATGTTAAGGATTTAGTCAATTTCTATCTTAACTTTTATTCATTATATGATGATACTAACGAAGTCAAGAAGTTGGAATTCACCAAAACATCACATAGGATATGCGTAGAGGTAAGATTTTTGTTTTTGTTGTTGTCGTTCAAGGAAAGGTTACTTTGCATTATTTTCAAGACCATGTTCGTTATTATTAGATGTTAGTTGCTGCAGGTCCTTTGGAATAATTTAATATCATCTATCACATGACCACTATTAACAAAATCTGATAAGACAGAGTTGCGTATCGGTTTTGTCTATTTACAAACCACCCAAGGAGGCTTACTCATAATTTAAGCCTCACGATAATACGCCCAATTGTTCTGCGTATACCTTAGTGCTTTCCTAATAGAGTTCGATCTTGTCTTTTAAATATAGCACAAGCCATATAAGCACGATCCAATGGCTTTAGTGTCTATGTATGTTCAAATTACTAACTTGATTTCGATAGTTCGTGATAATCTTAATTGTTCAACCATTAATTTCTATTTTTATCTATGAGTCACTACTAATTATGATTCCCCATTCAACTGAAGGTTAGTTTGACTGCCTGTCTGTCTAATGTATTCGGTAATTTGATTATTGTGTCCGTACAAATCTCATTGCTATATGACCTGTCCTCAATAATGTTTTTTTTAATGAACAAAGTAAATGATGTCAGTGAATTTTAGGAGATCATTTAGGTTGAAATTTTGGCTTATACTAATAAGGGCCGACATTAATAAAGTCGAGCGCTGAAAGGGAGAATAAAATTTGTAATGGTGGTAAATATTGTCGATCCTCTGTTGTGGAAAACTTCCCTGAAACGAACAATATGGTGAAGAGGTCTCACAGAAGCTTTAGCGAACTTATTGGTGCTGCTTATCCAAGTATATGGAAATGTACTGATGCTCTAAACAGATTGAAAATCGAACAGTTTGTTGCAGGGATCCAGCAACAAAACTTTAAGAGAAAGTGTACAAAGGTAGAAGTACGTATTAAACTGGTGGTAGAAGATTACGAAAACAGACTGACACTAGACTACCTACTTGGAACAGAACATAATTTGAATGTGCACATTTAAACATGTTAAACTGCATTTCGAAAATTTTATAGTATATGTAACATGTATATCCATACTGAATTGATATTACCTCCTTTTTGATGTTCTACATTCAGTCAGTTAATGTATTGCTAGGATATTGTAGTCATAAATCTCCCTTTTAGACTGAAGAGTTATCATGGTGTTGGAAAGTCGAGGTCGAAATTCTAAATGTCTATCCCTTTTACTTACCTAGACCTGTTACTCCGCTTATTTTGTCAAAGAATGTAAAGAGCAATACACAACATCAAAGATCAAAATAATGTTGCGTAACGATCTAAAGTGAAAGAAAATTTATAGTACAAAACCAAATATTGTGAATAATAATTATTTACTTAACAAGTATGAAAAAGATGAATAAATCAAAAACATGAAGGTGATAATAATAAATGATTAAAAACCAAGATCATTTAAAGAAAGTTAACGGAATTAGTCCCTTTTACAAATTTCGATGGAGCAATGATCAACAGATCAACTCTGCTGTATCTTTAAGCCCGGTTCATTATTCGCCAATCTAAATACGACTTATTCAAACTTAGTACTGTGCTAAACCAATGACGTTTGACTAGAATGAGCAATCTAGCATCCTTATTGATCCTATGTTCGCCTAGCCCCCATCTAGTTGAGTCCAGAACGCCAATAACAGCTTCCACTATGCAAGTCATTTATTTCAAACATAATTAGTTTATATACCAGTCAAATAAACCGCGTCACACTATAAAATAGGAAATAACATTTATACAAGATCAAGCCAAAATGTGGCTGTGAACATGGGAGACTGTAATCAATAAACTGAACATAATTTAAGAACAGTAAATCGTATAATAATAATCTATAGGTTAAAATGAAGCTTATAGTAAGAAGAATATAGAAGTACATAATCTGGTTACTGAACAGTTATACAATGGGAATATATATATATATATAATATTAGTCCATTAATAGTTCTCAGAAGTTACCCGTAATTTAATCTTCACTACGATATAACAAACTCCGTCCTCTCATTGATCTATAGAAACCTAAAGACATTATTGATAACTGATTGACTCTGTGTGAGAAATTAGATATTACAGTCATGACCTGATAATAACTTGATGCGACGCGTTTGCACACATAGTCATTTGTCTCTTACCATCACGGAAGTCCATAATTGACTAGACCAAAGTTCATTATGTTTCGCCAAAGAGCACAAAGGACAGTGTTTTCGGCAATACATTTCATGAAGAATGCCGAGTATAACTTTTTAATTTTAAAAGATCATGTTTTTTAGCATTTAAAACTTATTCAATCTGAAATTCACCAAACCTTTTTGAATTATGTTCGTAAAACCCCCCTAGTTGTTCGAATTGAATATATGAGATAACATGACTAGGGTAACAAAAATAACAACTTGTTACCAAATTCGAAGAATTACAGTATTTGATGAATGCACACATTTAGAAAACTACTTTTTGTTTGGTTGCAGGGCAAAAGAATAGAACGATTTGAATATATTTTAAACTATTAAAAATGTTATTCCTCGTTTCAATGCTCACCTTCATTATGTGCCTTTTTGATAGTCCCTCCCTTCTGAACGGGTACCTAAAATTTTGAGTAATTACCAATATTTTAACATTTTAACTCTTCCGTTTTATGGTAAAATTTATGTTTGAATCCAAATTTATATTCCGCTTCTTTTTTTCTCTCACTAAACTGCTACTTGAAACCAGTTTATAGCTGATCTTCTATGTTGTGACCTTGAAGATGCTGAGCACTGTTTACAGTTATATGATGTTTGTGGTTCGATTCTACCTAGTAGTTCCAGTTCTGTTGGGAAACCACTTTCTATACAAATGTTTCTTAACTCATTCCGATATGCGTTCATTTCAAATAATGAAAGTGAAAATGAATCCCAAGATTCACCAGAGCATAATACTAAATATGTAAAACAGTTTCACCTACCAATAATTCGTTCAGATAATTGTCGTAAAACATTAACAGATATTGGTAAGCGCTATTGAATTTTGTTGATAAACTTATTTTGTCTCGAATAGGTGAATTGTGGCAAACAGTGGAATCCAGGTCATATGTTTCGTCCTGTTCGGGACCCATCATCTGGATGTACCTAAATCCTATTACTCTTCGTTCCAAACACCCAACTTTTTATCCATCGAGCTACTGTGGTATTAGGTTCGAGTCCCAATATGAACATCAACACTGAGATCCAGGTACATTCAACTGACGAGTACGAACTAGGATAAGTCTAAAATCTTGGATTTCACTACTAACCATAAACAATCTCCTTTAAACAACCTGTGACATAATTGTTATGCCATGTGATTAAAAAGATTGGTCGAAATTCAGACCTGATTACCAATGACAGAACAACTTAAATACTTATTCATAATGATATGTCTTATTGCTTTTTACATTTATAGACTCATAATTATTAAATAATAATGCTATTGAGTTATTGAGTATAAAAGATGGGATACGTGGTTAAGACTACGGTGAAATGAGAAATTTGATATGTTGCTTTAATACACAGAAATTAAACTTAAATTAGTAGATTACCAAAGCGTCTACCGTAATAAATCTGTAGAGTTTCCCTTTTTAGTTAAAAGACTTTTTCTGTTAAAACATATTATGATTACTGACAATGACGAACTGTATTCGTTGCAAACGAAAAATGCCCTAAAATTATAACATTGAAGAATTTAGCTTTTTTTAAACAATTGTTTGTTACTAAGTGTTCATTGTATTTAACTAACTCTTAAGGAGACATATATAACTTGGTTAGTTCACCGACAACATCTTTAATACTGTGAGATATTGAGTAATATCATTTCGAACTTCTGAGGAGGTTACAGTTTTGTTTGTCTACTGAGTTTATTCTAACATACACTATATCGATCATTTGTTTACTGTAATGATTTAAAAAAAAACTTACCGTGATGAAAAAAGTATGTTGAATGTATTCTGTAGCAAATATATTGTTTTCTGGCTTGTTTGAATATGCATCTACTGATTTGTTGTTTTAACCTTGTTTCAGGGTCATTTATTTTTAGACCTTATATGAATGGTTTGCAAAATTTCAATTCTTTCCAAACAATTATTGAATTATCTGATTTGGATCCCAAATTACTCCTGGTATGTTTCTTTTGCTTAAATCCTTCAGAGTATTTTTTACTTGAAATGCCTTTTCCCTCCTTAAATCATACTCCTTATAGCTTGTCATACAAGTTTCCAACGTTTTGTGTATCATAATTCTGAATTGTTTCAACACCTGGCTATACAAATTTTTAATTTTTCTTTCATTGAAGATTGGGCAAGCATTGAAAACTGGTGACAATAATCCCAGTTACTTGAACATTTAAAATTGGGATCTTAAGTATCATTACCAAGGTTTGACTCGATAATTTCAGAGAAATTGAGGATTGGATAAATTGCAAATAATAAGAATAATGATATATTTATAATATCCCATTGAGTAGAAGGTTAAATTTTTGATGTTTCATGGTTTAGCGAACAAATATATAAATAAATTGATTGAACTAGCACAAGTTAACTTGATAAATGTGTCCATCTATCCAATTTGACTCAACATATCATCAGAGCATGATAAAATTATTAAACTGAATACCGAAATAGTAATAGAAATATTTGTATGAATAATAAGAACAAGCATTTGACATGTCGAATATTATCTCCTACTAACACGACTCAATCCTACTATCGATTACTCCGTAAACTAATTCCACGTCGCGGATTAGGTGTCTCTAGTTTTTTTCAACATATTCATACACCAGACAACATCGTACATCGAAGTGGATAGTGGTTGAGCATATTTAATACCGATTCTAATCGATTCAATCGAAGAACAGTCAAAATCTCATCAATCGATCTACTGTTTTTGCCTAGTACTCTCAGTGTAACCTCAACATTGCTCACTTGTTGTTCCTGACATAAATAACCGATTATTCAGAGACATCGATAATCAAATGCTGATAACCTATGAATGTCATCTACTTTTAAGGCTCTTGCTTCATAGGTAGTATAGGTTTATATACTTGCCTTTACACCATATTCTTTTTCTATGGTCCGTCGACATTGCTGAGCTCATCGATATCAAGTTTATTTTTTATATTTATTTAATCACATACATATTGGTACAAGGAAGCACCAGATACATATGCGCCACACTTTGTGTGAGGGCTGTGATACTGCCCGGGTGCCCAAACAAGCAGGTGGTTTTCTTAGGGGACCACACCCCGTGCATTTGACCTAAAGGTCTAACCCACAAGGCAGTGGAGCATCTTAAGGAGATGCAGTCCCATGGTAGCCGGTGACCAACAGTTGGTTCATACGCCATTTGTTCCATCAGGATTCTGGAGCCCATGTGCACCATTGGTTTGGAACCAGGGTTTTCCAACTCCCCTAGGTGGTCACTCCACATCCACCAATCCGGTTAAAGCGCCAGACATTCGCTTTTCGTCCTCTCACTTTCGTAAACAACACCCATGGCGCGAGAAGGCAGTGAGTAGGACTTCCCTGGCTGGGGCTATATACGCGTGGCCATGTGAGAGCATTACGAGAGAGAGAGTGGACTCTCGCCACTCTCGGCCGTACTAGGTCATTTGGGGGGCCAAGTAGGTGAAACAGAGTTTTATCCTTTGATCTGTTGATTAAAAGTCTGAGTCTTTTCATCAATAATCTACCGCTTAACAGAGAAATTTGTTAGGAACTTCCTTATTCAATTTTTTTATAAATATCATAACATGTACATAGTAAGAGAGAGAGATGTAACGTATTAAATATTTATTACCTCTTAGTCATTATATCTTAGTTCAGTCTCCTAGTAGAACTACATTTTTACCTTGCTGTAATACACACATTGACAAGTGATAATCACGAACAGTTTCTAACATACTATCAATCAATAAAATTTTCCTTTTTTCTTTTAAATAATTTTTTCTTTTCAAAAACTTTTAGTTCTCTTTCACCTTGTTCATGTTGAATGAAGATAACTACTTAAATTTACCAATTTTAATTGATCGAATACATCACATGTATTGTTATATAATTTATCGAATTCTAGTCGAATTATTATCGTTACTACCAGAGGCAGTAAAAGAAGACAGAAATAATGATGGTGAAGAAAACAAAGGAAAATGCATAAGTGGAAATGTAAAAAATCAAACAAATTTTCTTGACTTTCTTGATATAAAATATACTAAATCAAAACAGCTTTATTCAATGTTGTTCGAGTTAACATTTAAACAAATATACAGTTACTGTTTGGATAGTTATCATTTATCATCTGCTTATTTAATTGTATTAGTAATACGTTGTATACTCTTTCAAATATGGCAAACATTTGAATCGGAAGAAAATATTTTAAAAGTTTTATATGATTATACACAAGTAAGTTGTTTGTTACTTTTCATATTCTTGTTAGGTCATTACTTTCCAATTGATTACATTGTTATTATTAAGTAATCTATGAAATACAAACGTTTAGCAAGAAAATAACTGAATAATAATTAGGAAACATTTTGTATTGACTGAAATTAAAATGAAGAACCATAGAATGGAAATTCTATAGTATGAACCTTAAACGCTTGTTATGAAGCTCCGAACTTACTGGTTTCGATCCCTGGTTCAGTCATGTCCACTACTGTGCGATCCTCTACTAGGATGATTCTGTACTTCGTAGTGAGAAATGTTGTATAAGAGACTGAATTAATAAAAGGGAGTAAAGTAGTTAGGTGTGTCTACTACTTCAGTTATCATCAACCTTGTTGTTCCTAATGATTGACAAAATCTCAGCATGGTCTCAGAATCTCGCTCAGGTTTTCTATCTTGTATTGCTTTTGGCTTAGGTGAAATATCTCATCCCAACCAAAGGGTGAGTTTACCGAGTATTGGTTCACTACCTTATTTCGCAATTGTTAAACATAGCCCTTAAAAGTAGATGACATTCATAGGTTATCAGCATTTGATTGTCGATGTCTCCAAATTATCGGTTATTTATGTCAGGAACACTAAGTGAGCAATGTTGTGGTTACACTCAGCGTAATGGGCAAAAGCAATAGATCGATTGATAAGATTTTGACTGTTCTTCGATCGAATCGATTAGAATCGGAATTAAATATGCTCAACCACTATCCACCTCAATGTACGATGTTGTCTGGTGTATGAATATGTTGAAAAAAACTAGAGACACCTAATCCGCGACGTGGAATTAGTTTACGGAGTAATCGACAGTAGGATTGAGTCGTGTTAGTAGGAGCATGCTGCCTGGTTAGGGTCCGTTATATTATCACGTTCGATTATTGGAGATGTGTGTCAATTAAAAACTGATCTTAGTGGCCCATATGCTCTTTGTCTTTATTTTCCTTCCGACCATAACCCTCAGAATTTCGCGATACATTTTCTCTTTTCGAATCATTTTTCCAATGAAAGGTCGCAGTATAATTGGATATTACCATTATTTATACTTCTTATTTATTCAACTTGCTTATTTCACCTCATTGTGCTTACTGGGTAAAATAACTTGGAATCACGAAAAAATGTTCAGGCTATGTATGTAATATTATATGTCTTTCATTATTTACCTACCTATAGCCCAATATTGTTATAAATTTTTCTAAAATTACTTGTTTTACAGCGCCCAGAATTCACAATACACACTTCTTCTGAAAATTTCAGTGAAATTGGTAGTGATTCTGCTAGCCAAGAACTTCATCTTAACAAAAATACAGTTGATACTGAACTTCATTCTCTAAGCATGTCTTCAAAATTGTTCAACTGTTTGACGTCAAATTTACAACATCTTGTAGATAAATGGCATCAAACTTGCGCTCAACTAGAAGATATATTAACTGTTGGACTTATTCTGTTATGTCCGATGAATCTAAAGAAAGAGTTCCAAGATTCTCATCATTCTTATCCATATACGTTTTATTTTAATTTGAGATATGTTTTAACTCATGGTCGTTGTAAGTTAAAATTATTGTTTGTTTTCTGTTTTTATGAAACAATTTTTGATTAAGGTCAAAAATAGCTGGCAGTAGATTGTTTCAATTTTCCATGTATTAGTAATCCATTAATGTAATTATTCCTAACCTAGAAAACTCGTCAACACCATCGTCTCTAATATAATAGTTAATGTTCCACAGTGATGTTGTGGTGTGGTCTACTTATATCCTTATAAGTAGTATATGATGATGGTCAGACATAGAATGTATTTTGGCAGAAGAATGATAAGGAAAGAACTGAAATGAAGCGTAATTGGTAGGAAAATGCATAAACAATGAAATTAGAGAAGATGGATTGATATTTACAGAGAGAACAGTGGAGAGTGAGACGATTGATTGTTATTTTGCAAGTTAACTGTTTGCTGTATGGTTATCAGATCTTAGTAAGATAATTTGTAATTTGTGCTTACATACATCCGATTGTCCTCACTCGTGTTTTTGTTCACTACAATGTATGATCAATATTAAGATATATTTTATCCTATCTAGTGTTAGTTAGCTAGTCATACCTTTTTATGGTTAAATTGATTAAAATTCACAACATAAACTTGGTTAGTAAAATTGTACTGGCACTAAAGGATCGGACAGTAGGACAGTGATTACTATCCGAAAACTGACTAGTGTGTTAGCTTAATGTTAGTTTTATCAGTTTAATAAGATATTGAAATTATTTGACGTAACTGAGATGATGGTTCATTTATGGTATTGATTCTTTAGTTCTAATCAAATATAATATAGAAGACAGGTGAATAACTGATCGACTGATGAGATGTATGTAAATAAGAAATTAAAGCTAAGGTTTACATGCGAAATTATTCAGCTGAATAAAGACTGAGTTAAGTGTCAGTTTGTAAATGAATTGTCAAGATTAAGAATTCATATCACGTCACACTCTATATATAGTTCATTTTTACAGATAGTTCTGTTCTGAAAATTCTTTTGGTGACATATTTGATCATCATAGCGTTAGTGTTGATTTACAGTCTTGAATATTTCAATTGGTTCCAGTTTGTTCAAAAGCTCATATATGTCTTGCTAATTAAGGGCTGTAAAGTATATGGCACAGCTTAATTTCAGGCTTTATTGTCTATTGCCTTAAATAGTTGAACATGAATTATTTTGATTTTGAACTCAAAATCTTAACCTTAATTTTGTTTATTTAAATGTGAATGCTGACAATTAACTAAATAATTTAAATGATAATCATCTCAGATTTAATATTATCTGTAATAGGACAAAGACAGATGTATTTTATCGTGATTTTCCTGAGTTACATTTCAGCATGCTAAGTATTCAATGCCCTATTGTGCAGGTGAATGTTGAAAACTTTTTCCATTAACTCTGATTTTAGGAGATTAAGCGAATTCCTGTAACTTTAAAAGAATGTTTTACTAGATTATTGGGTTATGTACGGACATACGGTTTATGTTGCTCTTTTTAAAAACTATTTCGTCGAAAATCCATATCTTACGTTTCTTGTTTAAATAATTTAACAGCCTATTTAACTGGTGTATTTTCATCCTGGATTGTAAAAAACAGCATTACACCTGAACAAGTTTTGAGTTTCTATCAACGGATCTGTGCAAAAACATTACCAGTTGAAGATGAGAACGCAAACGATTTGATCACTTGTGATCCAGCGCATATTAGACAAGGTAAAAAAAGGTGGTTATTTTTGTGGCTAATTTATGAAATTAATAATTGTAATTCGTTTACCAAACAAATAGAAATTCGTATACTCGGTTTTAAGTTTGATTATGTGTATGAAAGCTGGTGATGTTACCCTGGTTACTCAAACAAACTATTAAGATTTTATGTCAAAATTAAGAAACAGCCTCAAGAAATTTATAAAATTTCAATGTTGCTAATAGAGATGATGTATAGAAAAGACGTTTTTTTAAACAGATCAGACGTTTCAATCAGTGATATGATGATTTCATCGATGATAGAAGACCTCGAAGACTACGGACCTTCTTATGTTACTGAAGACATTGAATCTTCTCGGTTTATCAATGTTGGGCTGATCCTGCAATTTTCTCGCAATCGACATGACAAGCTCATGAAACATCAAGGAGCATTTCAACCAATCAGCGTTTGATTAGAAGTTATGTTACTAAAATAACGAAGATGAAAAGTCACATGTAGAGATTCTGATTGGTTGATTAATATACTGCTACTATGTTTAGCAGTATTCTAGAATTTTCATTAAAACCCAAGGACTCTTAAATTACTATAAAATCCCTATATTTTCTGTACATAAATGAACCTTGGAGTAAAGTGCTTCCCACGTATTTTGTGCCTTTTCTCTCGTCTTCAAGTCGCTGTATAGTTCTAGCTTGGGGGTTACGAAATTAGCTTAGGATCCGAATATAGCGTTCAATCGACAAGACGTATCAAGATTTCAGATTGCCAGTTCGGTGTTTGGGCAATTGTTGAAAAATGAATTTAAGAAGACCTGTACACATAATTTTATCAAAGCATTCAGAGTACTTATTTCTTATAAATAGATGTCAAGTTTCATTAATCGGAGTTCTCATCTCTTCTGGAGTTTTTATTATTACTGTCATTAATTCTTTTGTTTGACTTCCAATATGTATGTTTTTTTTTTCAATTACTTTTCAGTCATTTTCTCACTAGCCTATAAACGTCTTCCTTTCACATTGGAGTTAGATACTATTCTATCAACCGTTTGTTGGATTCATTTTCAATGTTGGCTTAATAACCTAGAAGTAAGTTTATACAAGTTGGTAAATAGTATTAAGGATCGTGGATACGCGCTTTCATCTCTTTAATTTATATTTATTCTGTAAAGACAACTTTTTAATTTATTCTTAAAATTACAGAAAATCAGTCAATTATATTATGTATGTATATTTGTATTAATAAGTATACATTATACGTTTATTCGCCATGAGAAGACGTTTAAATAACACATTAAACATTATCTTTAACAGAGCTTTTCAACTACATTAGAACATGCCTAAAGTGTATCAGTTTCAGTTGTATGTACTTGTGATGAATATCATCGTTAATTTTTCTCAATTCCAATCCAATGTATATTAAATCAAGGAATTTCCATTGAATCGTTTTGAATAATTTATTGTTTTCATCATTTATTATTTGTTTTGAGCAGTGGCTTACTAATTTTAAAATGCTGCTGCTTCCAACCAGTAGATCGAAGGTTTAGACTCTCTTGTAATATCTTCCGTTTGAACACCTGAGTACTATTGTAGTGCATGCTACTTAAGTCGACAGATATAAATAGTATGTATCACCAATTGTAAGTGGAATGCCTGGCGGCAGAAAGTTGAAAAAATCGAAGAGAAGAGAATGAGAACAGAGAGTGATTGGTATGAAAATGAAGAAACAACAAAGTCTGAGACAATTGATGGATATTTTGCAAATGAAGTATTTACCATATGGTGGTTCTCGGCCCTGGTACGGCCAAGAGTGGGGAGAGTCCGCTCTCCCTCTCCAAATGCTCTCACATGGCCACGCGAATATATAGCCTCTGCCAGGGAAGTCCTACTCACTGCCTCGCACCATGGGTGTTGTTTACGAAGTTGAGAGGATGAAAAGCGAATGTTCGGTGCTTTAACCAGGTTGGTGGACATGGTGAGTCCACCTCGAGGAGTTGGAAAACCCTGATTCCAAACCAATGGTGCACATGGGCTCCAGCATCCTGAAGGAACAAATGGCGTATGAACCAATTGTTGGTCACCGACTACCATGGAACTGCATCTCCTTAAGATGCTCCATTGCCTTGTGGATCAGACCTTTAGGTCAAATGCACGGGGTGTGGTCCCCTAAGAAAACCACCTGCTTCAGTTTAGGCATCTGAGCTGTATCACAGCCCTCACACAAATCAAATGAGATTTGTGCGGCGCATATATATTCGGCGCCCCTTGTACCAATATTTATGTGTTCAAATAAATAAAATAATAAACATCTGGTTGTTACTGCCTGTGTTATCGTTCACTATATTATCACTAGCTCTCAAGCAATACATAGCTCAAAGTTTTGTATATCAATTACGCTTAATTAATTTTGTAATTTCAGAGTAATTATAATATTAGTTTGTGACAATATGCTGTATATTTTCTCATTCTATATTTTTAACAACATGAGGAACACTACATTTCTTTGTTTCCTTTTAAATAACTAAAGAAACTCATTGTGTCATCATAAAAAAACTAAAAACCATTCAAGAAAGAAACTTGTCTTTTTCCCATGAATTGTCCTTAATTGTTATTTTTTTTAAGAATTTATTATATATTCCAGTTAACTACAGTGTTGTATAATATAGAAAGAAACATTTATACTGATTAGTGCAATTAGTATTTACGATATCGACCGAATACATTTAGTATAATACAGTATACCCTCATATGTTCAGAGATTGATATTAGCTGATTATAAAGAAATAGGACGTATTCAATTATATTTGATTGACCATAGGTGTGTTTGTTTAGACAATAAGTGTATAAAATTTGTTTCCATTCGCCATTGTGCATAGATGTAGTTTACCCGCCTCTTTATAGTTGTATCTAATATGAGTAAATAACTATTTTATAAGAGCAGTCTTGTTGTTAATCTCCATGGCAGGCTTAAATTAGTCAAAAAGTCTTTGAAAATCTATAAGTACATCATGATTGTTTCCACCTAATTGTAAACACAACGACCTTTTGTACCCAGAGCCTCACGCAAACACTTGTTCAGGACTTTCAAAATTAATCATTTAATTTTTAATTCTGAGTCCAACAACGCACATTTCCCAAAATCAATCGGTTTGTACCGTAGTGTTACTTACTTTCATTGTCATGAGTACATTTCTATCACGAATTGTCTAACTCCACAGGATTTGGATCTCCACTTATAGTTTAAGGATTACATTTCGACGAATGTCATTAGTATGCATGTTATTTACTAAAATGGTTTCGTGAATGTCTCAAACAAATAGTATACTGCTCGCATCTTCTCTTCCAACTTTTCTGTTGTTTGGGGTCTCTTGGGTGAAGACTATAGTTATCTTCAATGTTCTTTAGTTATCATTGACTATCCAACTAGTTTCAGTTCATGATGAAATTACCTTTAAATAAATTACGCTCTCACATATATTAAGGTTGCTAATTAATCTAGTTGAAAACATTCAAAGAAGAACATTAATACAATAAGTTCCAAGGAAGTTTACTGCGGTATAACACACATTTTCACTGAATAATTTAAATCTGTAGAAATCAAAGATCTAGTAGTCTGAGATAAATAAGACATGGTTAAATTGAATGTGATGAAGACTACCAATTACCACAATATCGACCATAAAAATTTGTATAATAAAACTAAAAATGAGGAATTAATGGAAGTTTTTAATTACTTTAATAAACTAAGAAAGATTCTATGGCACTAAGATAAACGAAAGATTAGGATTTTTTTCTTTCTTGATCAATCATCACAGTAGCTTGAAATTGATTTGATCAACCCGTGTAAACTTGTCTGGGTGTTTTAAATCGGTTCGCATATTTTGATACAACGGTTTCCATGAAATCATATGTCTAATTCCTACTTTACTTGTACTCCTAACTTTCTATTACTCTGTCTTTCATTGCATTTAATTTTTCGTCTACTTTTGAACTGATGAACTGAGTTATTAAGTTGGCTTTGTACTTGACTTCCAGTTACATTGTTTTGTGTCATGGCTAGTAATACTAATCAGCCTTCCAGATCCAAGAAGGTGGACTGTTGTTTGAACTTGAAACCAGCGAACTGTGTGGGCTTATTGTACCTCGGCACAATAGATATCCAATCAAACTGGAGACACAATCGTGGATTTAGTATTAGTATCTGTCCCCTAAACGTACACATTTTTGTTTATATCCTGAAAAAAGGCACTAGTCGGATCTCAGTCACGTGACAGTAATGCCTGGGGAATTATACTGATTTCAGCCCTCTTGTCTACAGGAAAATGGCTTCCTAAAAGTTTATCCATAGCGTAGAATAGGGGTGTTGGTGAGTGATCAATAACAGTTGTTATTTCGCTATAGACAGCAATGGGTACTAATGGTGATTATAATGTGTTAATGTCACTGTTATCAGAGTATACTTCCATTATTTGTCTGCCATATCTGCCACGACGTCTAAGTTAACGGATTGCATAAAAATGAATTATAAACAAATGGAAAAATGTATGTTGGATGTTTGCATCTTCCCACTGATGTTCAGAATTGCAATAGGCCAGTAGCGATATAATTTAGAACATTTATACAGCTAGTTACTTGGTGATATTTTCTGTTTACATGTTCTATCCGGTTCAGAAGAAGCCCCAATTTTTAAGAAATGTTCCATCCAAGCGGTATTGTAGTGAATGAGAAGACGAGTGGGGACAATCGAGTGTCCTTTACATGAAAATTCAGACTATCTCACTAAAATCTGACAACCGTACAGTCAACAGTTAATTTGCAAAATAACAATCAATTGTCTCAATCCTAACTGTTTCTTTTGCAAATATCAGTCCATCTCTGATTCCACTGTTCATGCATTCTCATACCAACTGCATTCCGTTTCGGTCCTTTCCTTATCAATCTTCTAAAGAAATAATTTCCATACCTGGCCATCATCATATACTACTTATGTGGATATAAATAACTCACACCGCTATATATATATATATATATATATATATATATATATATATATATATATGCTAATAGTCTAACGAATAGTAATTCCGATAAATAAATATTCGAAAATGTGATTAAAAACCATGTAAGTAGGTGCTCTTTCGTTTAGGCAAACAAACAGTAATACAAGAGGGAGCTCAAGTACTGTGAGCAGAATATGTAAGATTGTCTCTGAACAAAAAATTCAACATAACAACTTAAATAATCCTCTATGGTCAGTGATATGAGTTGTATAACTAGAGTGATTATAGGAGATATGAATAATAACAAAACTATTTACAGAATAGATCTAAATTGACCGTTTCTTCAAGTTTTCTGTATCACAAAAGCTCCAGTTCTAAAGCTTCCCACGAACTATTTACAGTAAACCATCTTTATAGCTTCCTTTTTTATGATTGAATCTAGTTCTTAAAAAGTACTGTAATTCTTCCATACAGTTACATTTGTACGTGATAAAATTCTACTTGTCGCTCTCTCTATTTTAGATAACCAGGTTCGGTTATTACTGTTATTTCTTATTACAAATTATCCATCAAACTAATTGTCTACTTTGCTATTTAATGTTCTCTATTCTTCCAGCATATAAATCATTTGATCTCATGCATTGAATTTATCAGTCGATTTAGTTCAGCTGGTACAATGATTGCACAGGGCTTAGGAACAATGATATGGAATAAAGGTCTCATAAATTGGATTAAACCGATTTTGGCTATTGGAAGAGGTGATAAAACAGTAAGTTATTTTTGTCTTCATAGCAAAACAGTGGAAGCCTAGTTTACATTCCTTGACTTTCTTTTTAAAAAATTTTTTCTTAAATATTTTACTGTAACACAAAGTTAAAGGATATATACATACAGAGCTGACTATTTACTGAATAGTAATCAGTGTCATATGCATCAAAATCTTTTAGTGTTGATGAAATTTTGTTTTATTAAGTCGCATTACATTCACCAGTCTGAAGGAATCGGTTACCCCCTTGATTTGTCTACCCAATTTTCGTGCCGAGTATAACTTGTCTAATGTAGATTAAGACCTTGACGCGATAGGCTGACTGGCTTAACCTTGAGGCTAGTATGCGTGAGTTCGAAGCGGGGGTAGAGAGACGAAAACTATTCTATCCCTGATTGGCTGACAAGCACGCGCGCGAGAGAGAAGACAAGACAACTGGAACAGCAATCGCTTTATTCCAATCCCGATCTGGTACCCGAATTCCGATTAGTGTAAAAAGATACAGGAATAAATAGATGACTATCCTGACCACAATGTACAATAATTAGGAAAATACAATTATGTCTGAAACTTGGGGAAAAATAGAATACAAAAGGTTGCGTCTGAATTACAATAGCTTTGGAACAGAAAAGGCTATGGCAGTGAATCATACATCAAACGAAAGCTCATGATCTGTAGAATAGACTAGGGACAAAAGTAAATATTACAGTTTTACAAGCTTCGAATTAAATGAAATAACGTCCCTAAAAATAGCTTCCGTAGTTTTTTAAGGCTTCTTGTTTCGCTGTTCACATCACCTTCCCCCTTGACAAAAAAGTGATCTCTGCCATTAAACTGAGTACATAAGGGAAACTGGATGGCGTTGTGGTCGTTGTAAACGTGACCAATTTGGTTAACTGGAATAAATAAAAAATAAAATAAAAGTGGTTAGTCACTATTTACAAGTAATAGCTAAGATATCATCATTGATATCTCCCCTCAGAAAAATATGCTCTTTTCTTTGAGTCCACCTGCATGATATCAGGTCTTTTGCGTTTCCGTAGTGATCTAATAGGATGTTGTTCAGGTTACACAGTCTTCTTAGTCGCTGAATTTCCTATGCCGATACTGTCCAAGAAAATCTTCCACATAGAGCACGATTACTTGGCTTTCTGTGAAGGTGGGTATCAGGAACCACGTAGATTCTTCGTTTCGCTCCATGATGGCGATTAAATTGGGTTCCGATTTTTCTCGCAACTACTATGGGAGCAGCCTACTGCGAGTAATTTACTGGCTGAATGACACATAGGCCTTCAAACCTGTCAAGTTCTTGGTCAACGACTGACATAGTAGCATAAGGTTCTGGTCGTTTTGATCTGAAGATGGGCTTTGCATTTTGCTTTCGAAGATGATTTACGTGAGATGCGTTCGACATTTTAGAGGAATAAAATGCATGATATTTTGAGATCTTACGAGAGCATAGTTTATTTGAGGAGTTTGATCGGGAATCATTTTGAGAACATGTTACATCGGAGGTATTTGATTTAACATCATTATGAGAACATATTAAATCGGAGGTATTCGATTTAACATAATTATGAGAACATATTAAATCGGAGGTATTCGATTTAACATAATTATGGGAACACAATACACTGGAGGTATTTGATTCAGAAATATCAGGAGAACATAACACATCAGATACATTTGATTCAGAAATATCATGAGGAATTTGGATAGATTCAGAGGAAGGATTGTGAGAACATACCTCATTTAATAAACTATTTAAGATATCGATCTTCTCAATCCAGTCTAATCCCAATAGATCTAAATCGTGCCGATTTGTCAGATAACAAACATCAGTAAACTTATGTTTCTTGAATTGTACGTTGCAAATGACTTCTCCTGTTAGCTTCACTATATCTCCTGAAGCATTTCGGGCAACATGTTCTGTTGATCGGATGTGTGGGCAACCTAGCTTACGCCACATGTTCTTGGAAATCAATGTGATGTCGGAAGCCGTGTCCAACTGAAGACGTATAGGTTTTTCATTCACTAATAAGTTTACATACTTCCGTTTACTTTGAAACCCAACTTTAAAAGTTGCAAACGTGCTTTTGACTTGACTCCGTGACTGTGGCTTCACATTTACGCCACGATATTTAGACTGACGTTTATTTGAAGTGCAGTGACCTTCTTTATGACCAATACGATGACATTGGCGGCATTTGTGGTTCTTGAACGGGCATAACTTCACAAAATGCCATGATCCGTAAAACCAACATGGTGATGGTGGTTTACCAGAAGGTTGCTGTGCGTTCACCGTGTTTTGTTTGGAAGATCTGAATGCGTTTATTGAAGCAAAATCGGAAGTCTTTGCCTTCTGCTGTGCCATCGCGGTATCACGTTTAAAATTTAACAACCGTTGGCACTCGGTTGTGACCATTTGCAGAGTCATGTTAGGCTCCTGCTCAATACGCGATAGAATGAGCAGTCTTGAGTACTTATCAGTCCTGCTTTCTGCCTAGCCCAGCCAGTTAAGTCCAGAACACCAATAACAGCCTCAGCAATATGAATCATTATTCTCAAACATACTGGGTTTATATACCAACCAAACAGACCACATCTTACCATAAAATAGAAAACATTTGTACAAGATTTGATCAGATGTGGCTGTGAATAGGGGGAACAGTAATTAATGGACTGGGGATAACTCAAGAATGGTAAATCGTATAATAATAGTCTATAGGTCGAAGTGAAGCTGATGATAAAAGGAACACGAATACGATTAGGTTACTTACTTAACAACTATTCAGTAGGAAATATACTTATTACATTGGTCCATAAATAGTCCTCAAAAGTTACTATTCACAATTCTATTCGGGATACAATACCTCCACTTTTTTGAGAGATTCAGAGTTTATATCCGGATTTTAAATTTCCCGAATTTATCTTCCACCACGAAACTGTGTTGGATCCTCATGTACCCAAGTTACCATTAATGTGACATTATTTGAAACATGTTTGTCTCATTTAACAGACAGTTCACCAAAACGGATTAGATCGTGAAGGTCAACGACATTTGATTTAAGGTCGCCAGAGTCTGATTCTTCTGAGACACTCCTTTAATTTATGAAATAAATTTTCATCGGTATTGATATTAGACAATAAACTAATATGTCAACTTTTGCTGATCGAATTTTATTGAACACTGAAATCGATTGGATAGAATGCCGATCGGTACCATCCAATTCTGAGATAACTGCCTCTATTATTTATTTTCAGAGAAATATGATAAAGTTTCTTTTTGATGTAATTCTTGTCACTTTTCTATTTTATTGATATAAATAAATTTCAGCTTGATAAATATCGGGATTCTTTTCCACATATATTGGATGTAGCCCTATGTTTAATTGATTTCTTTCGAATATATTCTAATGTAAGTTTTCTTATCAATTTCGCTGGTAAGAAAACATTGTTTATTGTGTTCATATAATCAAGTATAAGAAACTCATTTATTCTTTTTTAAAGTAAGGAATGTTGCTGATCAATCAGTCAGTCAAAGGTAACGTAAAACCTGGTGTGTATATGTATGGGTTCAAGTTGCTTTGCCCCATTATCACAGCGAGATGAAATTTTCACAGTAAATCACAAAGTAACAGAGGTAGTAACATTATTAGTGATAACAACAAAAGTTAAACACCAAAGGTACAATTCGAGAAGAAAATATAAATTGGTGAAACATAAGGATTATGAGGAATTTTAAAACTTAGAATCCATGTCATTCAAAGTCTATAACCATTGGTTTTAATGATCACGTGGACCTCAACCAGGTAGTGTATAGCTGTTAAGATGGTTCAGTCCAGTTGCCAATGACGTAATCGAAATCATTTAATAGATTGCCTTATATATCATTTCTCATCTATAGTTTGGTCGTGAAATGTTGCGAGAGCACAAGAACACATTAGAATGTTTTTCGCACTATTTTAAACAATATGTTATAACGCTCGGTTTCACTTCGTCTTTACGAATGGGATGTCAATTTACCATATACGAATATCTACCCTAAATTCCCTCCCAGTGTCTATTCTACAGGACATCAACACAACTAGGATCAAGAACACGTGATTAGCCTGACTAGAACGTAAATATATTTCCATACCAGAAACCGACCCATTTCAACAACAGTCAATAATAATAATAATAAGGACAGGAGAATGTATAACTTATCCAGCACTTGTCAGACTATCTACAAGTCTGGCAAAGCAAACAACCAATCACTATCATTCTCTCCCACATATCAGACATCATAACAATTGATTATTAATTATGTTTATTTATTTATTTGAGCACAAATATTGGTACAAAGGGGCACCGAATACTTATGCGCCATACGAGTCACTTGATTCGTGTATAGGCTGTGATACTGCCCGTGTGCTCAGACCGTGATAGGTTTTCTTAAGAGGTCACACACGGAGTCTGATCCACAAGGCAATCGGGCAACGTCAAGAGATACAGTCCCATGGTAGCCGGTGACTGACGATTGGTTCGTACGCCATTTTTTCCTTCAGGATCCTGTGTATAACTGTAAAATATGTGTATTAGTATAGAGCCTTGATATGTTACTAATTGAAAGGAAATATTTGTTCTCTCAATTTGTGTTTCAATCTCTTTATTGAACAAATGCTCAATGAATAAACTAGAGCTGGAAGTAACTGTTAGAAATGTATAATCCATGTTACAACAATCCCAAATAAATTCAAACCACAAGTTGATGTAAACAATTTAGAAATATTAAACAACAACAAAGAACCATAACTCGCTATATATTCAAAAATGATTGGAAATGAAACTACTTACTGTATGTCCTTCAGTAGTATAGCTTTGTACACAAAAGGGTATCTGATAAGAAAAAATAGTAGGCGCAAAATTAATACGACTTAGAGCTGGTTTTTTTTAAAGAAATAATGATTACCATGTAGTTTACTTATTCGATGAACGTTAGAAATCTAATTCCATATAAGTTACGTGAATCAATATGATTTATTCTTTATGAGGAGACATTTCAAAAGTTTATTTGTTTGATACACTACTTCAGTTTATTATTATTATGCAGGGATAATACTACCGATTGCATTTGAAATAATGCACTCGTTTAATAATGCCGGAAGTCAGTCCCCAGTTTCTGAAATGCACGATCATACGTATATGAAGAAGGATGTTATATTTATAAAATTTAATTTCCATTACAATTAAATGATGAAAATTGGCCACTAAATATTCAATGTAAATGAAAGCTAAACAGGAAACAAATAATTAGTTTATAATAGAATTAAAAATAGGTATAATAACCAGTTTTAAACGAGTTAACTTTTGAACTCCTAACGAATCATGCTTTTAGTTTGGTTGTATCCATTTTCATCTCTAATATTATGTATTCATAGGCCTGCCAACGTGCTGAAGTAGTACCAGTCTTTTCAGTAGAAACTGAATGGAGTGATTTCGACACTTGTATTAATGACAAATCTCTTCAGTTCAATGACAAAGCATTTGAGGACGAATTATTTTTAGATTTAGATGCTCAGTCTCCAATTTTTGATGACAACGCTGCAAATAGTATGTTTACTGAGGTTTCAACTGGTGATTCATGCAGAAAACTTTTAGTTCAAGATGCTGTCAATCAACCTGTTCCTAATATGCTGTCGATAATTTCGTGGGAACAACTTATTATTGTTGCATCATCTTTCATCATATTTGGTCGACCTGAAAAATTTGACAAGTCGTCTAATCGACAAACAACCGATTTGAAATTCTATTCACCAATTGACTTTTTCCCATCACAAGTACGTGTATTCAATTGAGTTTGTTAACTTTTCGTTTTAGTGCACATCATTATATGATCGATACAGTTTCAACTGTTCCCTTCTTGATGTTTTATTGTCAAAACTTTATCTCAGATGATCCAATAATATTAGATATGATTGGACTTGTCAATCTCTTTCAAATACGTTTTATTATTTCCATTGTATAGAGAGTTCATGGTTGTGTATAATGATAAAATTGAGGATATTGTATATTTCATCTGGTGCTTAAATTTTTTAGAGAACTTGAATAAAAACTATATTGCTGGTGATTATGTTGTTCTACTTCTGAAATGATTCTTAACAAAAACGTAATTTTTTAAATCTGAAATCTTATCTATCAACCTCCATGGACCATACTGATTCTGTTTTCTAAATTATCAACAAATAGAACGTAGGAATAGATTTAGTATTTGATTTGATAAAGCATTGAGATTTCTTAACTTTTCATTTATTTAATGGCCGTACCCAATAAATGATTTGCGCAATATAAGCCTGATACACTGGGTTTTGATATCAAATATTAGCTAGCATATTATAAAAGTAACCAGGATTCTTTTACATTCTGCTATTGATTTTTTGTTTGTTTATGTAGTTTCATCTAATATGTTGTTATTCCTTCCTTTTTAAGGACTTACATATGTTAATGTCACCTGATAATCCAAACTGGGTCAGCATAGGTGTTGGAAACAATGTTGATGATGATTTAGTAATAAGGCGACGCTTTTTCCTCTATTGGTTAATTGAAAAATGTGTTGCATGTCTTTCATTGTTACCTAATTCACAGCGTTGTACTACACCATTATTTACATCAAATGAAGATATAATCCGCTCAGTTAATCATCAATCTGAATGCACTTTTGGAGCTGTAGATATTTATCGTCGATTTAGTTCTGCTGCTTTTACTTTGGCTAACCATTGGGGTTTTCCAAAAGATACTGTAGTTATACAACATATAGTATCCTTATTTGAAGCTAATCTAGATGATCAAGCTCAGCTTGTAAGTTTTACAGTCTGTTTCTTACTTATGTAATAAATCTGTTAGATTACAGTTAGTTATATAATAAAAAGTTATCAAGTTGGATTCAAACTAAAATGGTTATTTCTTAGTTACAAATTTGCTCATTATTTATGTTATTATTGAATATACTTTCACTTTATTCAAAATGTTCAAGTCCGTTTCTGTAAACTTCGTACGTACGTAGTAATGTGATGACAATTGTTTTTCTATTTCTTCCTTGATCTAAGTTTACACAAAACTGTAGCAGGTCCTACATTATCTTCATCGGGTTGATATCTGTAGGCACTTGTCCACAAGCAACTTAATCCTCATAGAGATATATGTTACTGTTAAGTATTATGCACAAAAAATGTTTGCAACGCTATTTTCTCATAGGTTTCCAGGAAATTTTTATCCCCCCCCCAAAAAAATAACGTCAATGGTTTACTATCAAGGTCATTTTATTTACAGAAATCGCTCAACGTGCAGTAATCTTGTAAAGCTTACGCGAGTAACACTTAAATTAACAATCTGATTCTCAATAGGATATGGGTCTATTAGCCGCTATATTTTCCTGGAAAGTATAACTTGCGGTGTATACATAGACACAAGTAAGTCAATGGATAAAAAAAATTTTGCAGACTTTTTTATTTGTTATTCCTTGCTTCACATTTAGTAAATTTCCATCTTAATTCTTAAATTACTCATTGTTCATTACCTTTATTCACCGATGTTATCTTGTCTTCAACCCTACTATCTTTTTCCATTACTAATGGTAGTTTTTATCCAAAGTTCAAGAACCTAGTAATTTAGCTGTCCGATTATTATTCATTGTTGGACGTCGTGTAGCTGATCGATGTTATGGTCCAGGACATAATAATATAAAACAACGATTACGTTTACGCGTATTCATCCCACTGACAATTGAAGCATGGCTTCGTGGTCTATTACCACCGGTATGTTGTAGCACTTTTTTTCATATATTAATATTACTAATTTCCCTTTTTTTATTCATTAGATTTCTAGTTTACCTGATAGTCAACAAATTATTGATCATGATCCTCAATTCACTTCATCTACAACAGATGTGAAAACCTTGACATTTCTTATTGACTATGTAATACAACATCTACCACAATATGCAAGTCAATGGCCTATAGCTGAAGAACTTAGAGATATTATTCAAGCTATTGTACAGTTAGATACAGAATAATATTCCTTTTACTTTTTTTAATCACGTATGCAAGAATCTCTTCAACAACAAATAACTTATTTTCCTTTTATTAAATGATAGATAATAAACGTCTATCTTTGATTATAAAACATGAGTTAACGTGATACATTGTTTTTCTTACTCAATAGGGTACATTGGGTACAGTAAACGAAAGTTTTGTGCTCTTAAAATCACAAAATAAATACTGTTCATTTGACGTGATAAACGAAAATGAAACATTTTTTTGGTTATATTGTTCAACTCTATTATAGTATCTAATATGTTTGGTCATCACCATCACCAAGACACTTGCAACGTAGAATTATGGTACTTGCGTACATCGGTTCAAGTTTCTATACCCCAATAACACAGCGAGATGAAATTGTCACGGTGAATCCCAGAGTAGTAAAGGTAATAACAGCAGATATCAAACATACGACTTGAGAAAAATATGGATTAGTGAAATGGAAAATTATTAATTTAAAAACTTCGAATCTGAGGAATGATAAAGAGTAGATGCACCTACGCCATCGCAAATGATTTCGAGCCATGTCACTCAAAGTCCTTAACCATTGGTTACTATAATCGCGCGGACCCCAACCAGGTAGCCTACACCTATTAAAATAGCTCAGTCCAATTTTCATTGGCGGGTGCTATGTATTGGTTTCTTCCCCCCCCTAGCTTTCGTCTTCCAGCTTATTCCTATACCGCACAACATCTCCATCGAGGCAATAAGTGCTTTGCATTTAGTTTTGATCCATATCTTGTGGATTTTTCAGATGTCAAATTTGGGTGAATTAGTTTCCCCATAGAGATATTAATGTGGTCGACTAAAGGAAGATGACTGATGTCCTATCCCAATTTAATTTTCTTGAGGCCCCCTCCTGATATCGAGAGGAGTGGTAGCTGAGAATCTACAACAGAGATTGAATGGCAAAAGTTGATAAGCGTAAACAACTTATCCTTTTTGTCAAAGGCTCTGCATATGCGGTGGTTCCACCATATGCGAACAATAAAGTTTCCGAATTCCATATGGCTTGAAAAAATGTATCTTAGTTTCATGAAATAACTCAAGATCTACAGAACTTATGTCATCGTTATTTTATTTACCACCGTCCATGACTTTATTTAGTGAAAAAGTAATTGTCAATGACCATCTACAACAGACAAATTTTACGATGCAACCATACAAGTGAAATCTGGTTAGCATGTTTTCAAATGAATCATGTTACCATAGAGTTCCAGCACTTATTTCAATTTTTCCTCATGTTAACTTTTAAAACAAAGCATTTCTCTCAAAATGTTTGCTTAATTTTCATTAACCTTCATTATCCACAAATATCGTTACAAATTACTATTTGTTGTCATTCATTCTATTTTTGTCCTCATACAGAAATATCCCCTTAATTGATTATTGACTCTATAAATTATTCTATTTATTAACTATGCACAAAGATACATCTAATTCTTTATATTTAACTATTCTATATTCATTGGGTGTTATTTCCTGAGACCAATTAAAACAATGTGTAAATCTTAGAAAAGTTTTCAATAAAAATAATATCCATGTATGATTATGATTTAATTTTTGTTTAAAAAAAATACTTGTACATACGTAGTTTAGTGTTTATAAACGAGAATGATACACTTTCAAATGATGATGTAATTGCAAAAGTTTACAACAAAAAAACCCAAACGACTATCAGAATAAAATTGAACAGCCGAAGTAATATATTACTAAATTATTATTATAACAGGATTACAGTGATCAAAAAACAAACTAATATGTAAACTATCTTACATTATTTCAAGTTAATCACAGTAGAAAGACTACAAAAAAAGAAAATAAAAACACCAACTAACAAACGTATCCAATGCTCAACACGATAATCTATCTATTAATGATAATGTATGGTATGATTTGTGCTTACAAAAAAAAACAGATTGTGAATGAAACTGAAACCATAAACAATTTGACACTGTACAAGGAGAAACTAAACGAACCATTTTGCCTACTACTGCTATTATAATGAAATCATATGAAAGTGGCTAATAAAGATTAAGTACACATTGATGGTGAGGAGTGTTCGGAAAGAAAGAAAAAAAAACGACTATTTGAACAAAAAGAAATTATCACTTTTAGTTATTATTATCATCATCATGATTATTATTTATTGGTCTGATAGACATTAAACGTCGAATCTCAGCAACGGCAGAACAAAATTGACACCAGATATATTGTAATTCACCATTTAGATTATCACCAGCAAAATTGTTTATAAATTCAATATTGCTCAGTAATCGAGGAGGATTTGCCTAAAAAAATATAATGAAGAATTGGCAAGCGAAAATAAATTCTGTATTACTAATCTATCAACGAAAATTGATGAACTCATATTGAAAAGTATCATGTGTAGTGTCACTTGTTAGTTAACACAACATCATTTGACTGGTATTGCTTTTCGCATTTATGGTAAGGCATATGGATTGGTGGAAAGTCATGATGAAGACCCTATTGGAAAGAAATACTGCTCCGTTATAGTTACCTTTCGTTCTAAAACAAAGCAGCGTGCAGCTATAATAAAAATTTATATGAAGTCGAAAACTATGTACAACTTAAATTATGTTAATACATATGTTTTGTAGTTTATAACAAGAACTGATCTTAGTTGGATAATCATAGAGAACTAAGAGGAATCGAGCAGCTGTTTTGTTCTAATATGGGACTTTACAACAGTGCACAATCACGACCTCATCGGAGATCGAAACCAGGACCTTCAAATCTCGGGACGAGTAATCCATATTTCCTAACGTCTGAAGTTCAGTCATTTATTTTATGATTGCTCTACTTAAATTACTATTTATTGTCTGCTATACACTTAAAATTCTAAAAAAATTTAAGTTAAATAACTTTTCATCATTAGATAAATTAAATACCTAATACCGAAGAAAGTGCTTCGTTTTTATTCACGCTACTAGCTATATAAGACAAATCTCATCAAAAGTTATTTGTCACAGTATACGGAAACACAGAGCATTCGTATTTAACCAACCTGATTATCTGATGTAAAATAAAAGTATACCATACTCTGAAAAACTAATGATAATGCACAATAAACAACACTCTCATAAGTCAATCATATTAATGGTGTTTATGATTAACAATCAGAATCATATGATAAGATTATATACTTTTATTCAATGTTACTTAATAATATTGCTTATACGGCGATGTGCTCAAAAGTACTTTCATATATTATATGGTATCTACTTAATGAGAATGATAGATGAGATATATATCTAGTAAACATACTTACATGTATAATTAAATAAATGAGCACTGGTAAAAGATCATCTGCACACGGTATTGATGTGGGATTGGCTAGTTGCAAAGCAGCTAAAACATGATTTATTACACGTTTTAAACAACGAAGTTTATCAGATGATGTCTATTTAAGATAGAAAATAGAATGAAAAACCATTCAACATTATAAAAAAGGAATCAAACAAAGAACATAGAGTTATGAGAATGTTAAATTTCCAGTTCTTAAGGTTTTAGTTCATTGGTGTTAATGAAAGGCTCATTTAATAGTATACTTAAATAGTTACATTAGTCCAACTGACAATTCTGTGTTCAGTATGAATTACCAAATATAATTCGAATAAACTTTTAAAAGCAGAACTACTTAGTATGTGAATTCGAGCATCGCTTTCTTGAAAAGTTACAACTCTGCACATGCACAAGATCGAAATCTCCCACTAAATTCAATGTCAATCTGCATCAACGCTTAGAATAGAAAGAAGTAGTCGAGCGCGTTCACCGCTTAAATTACAGTGGAAGTTTTATCAATCCCACCGGTTTGCCAACAGACGAATTATCCCTTGGTTTCTTCTGTCAACAAGGAGGAAAGTTTGATGAATGAAAGTCTTATCTGTATTATTTGGTCGCTATGAATAATAGGAGACATTTGTAGCCTGAAATTACCTATCGATAGTTGTCTCCGAAGCATTGTTCGCACGTAATCGAATACCCAGATGAACAATGCTAACGCTAGGCATACAGGCCCAATTAGGTTGAGAATGGTTATCAGCTGAGATGGGTGAGAAATGACAAGCCAAAACCCAACTTGATGTGAATTCCTGGCCAGGGTAACAGTAAGTTAAAAAAAAAGTCATGCAACAACAAGAAAAGTACCAGTCCCTATAGTCATTGTCTGTTGAAATAAGCTATATAGCGAGGTGTAGATACTCTAATTCGTGTTCTCATGGTAATTGTGACCAGTAGTTAGAAATTTTGGGTGATATCCCTAAAAATCGATCATAGTATATCAGATCCATTTATTCTTTATCTACATCTAGGTCCTGAGTCTTAATGATTTTCGTACTTTTCATTCCTTTTTCTCAAAATATAAGTTCTTTTCTAATCGATTTAGGGCAATATATATTTGGGTTACATTCTACATTGCTTATAACTGACTGAAAACTTTCTGTACATCACCTGAAATTAAACAATATAATATTCAAACCGACATCACATTTAGCTTTAATTATGGGTGTTACCAATAAAACACTTTTTTCTATCGCAACGATTGAATTGATAGTTACCAAAAAAGAAATCATGATTTTTAAGATAAGTTGAAACTAGTTAAATGAAGAACACAGAAACCTACACAATCAACGTAAACGATAGAAAAAAGAATACTCAAACAAATACATACATGATAGCAATCTAATAGTAGAAGTTCATTTTGTACAGATTTTAATGGTAAAACAATATGATATGCATTTGAAATTCGTAATTCTGTTGGTGTTACAGTATTTTGTAAAAATGCCAACTCTCGATGAAATAATCTGTTTTAGAATGAAAGAAACAATAAAGTTATTTACATATAAATATTCAGAATTATAATAAAAACATTAAATTTTAAAGTGGTCTTTAAAATAACTTGATTACATACTGGAATAAGGTTATTTGTTTGACGTATGAAGCTTTCAAACTGGATTTTAGCGTTCAGTTTATTATTGTTAGCAGATGTACTACAAAATTTAAACCCAAGGGATAATGCTTGTAACTCAATAGTTGATAATGTTATGCTTGAGTAATTGAAAATATATTTCTTTGGAGATTCGGGGAAAAGAAGCTTGAGTCTCAATCTGTTTCAAACTTTTCATTAATTTCAAAATCATGTGAATATCCAAGACCATTTTACAAATTATTACACCGTAAGCATATTCATCCAAATCATTGTTCTTTGAAACGTCTTACTTTGAATTATATCAATGAAATTAAGTCTAGAATACCAGAATTGGAACGTTCATATACGTTATTTGATTTGTCAGAAGATCAACGTTTTAAATTCAAAGATTATATCGATATTGTCAGCAAAAATCGTACCGAAGATGTGATTTTGAAATTAATGAAAAGTTTCAAACAGACAGAGACTCGAGCTTCTTTTCCCCGAATCTCCAGAGAAATATGTTTTCAATTACTCAAACGTAACATCATCAACTATTCAGCTACAAGCATTATACCTTGGTCCTAAATTTTTTAGTACGTCTGCCAACATTAATGAATTGAACGCTAAAATAACTTGATTATTAATAGGAATTTACTAAAAATTAAATCCAGTTTCCCTTATAATTAGTAAAAATCAGAATTAGAACAGTGAATTTTTCAGAATACAATGAATTCATCATCTTAATTTTATGTCTTCTCAATAACTTTAAATGGTTCTAATAAATAATGGTGATCAGAAATAAATTGTCACCGACGTTCTTAACACAATTGATTGTCGAGATAAATATAAAAAATACCTTTTATAGTTGAATTCATGAGTCAATTGAAACTAGACCACCATGGAAAACCTGGAAGCACTAGACGGCCGTTTCGTTTTAGTGTGGGACTCGACAGTCCTACCCGCGAGACTCGAACCAAGGACCTATCATTCTCGCGCGCGAAAGCTAAACCTCTAGAACAATTAGCCGGCATCCAACGATGTTAATGTCTAACTTCAACCAATCCACGAAATCGAGCAACCGTCCATCATTGTTTGCAGTGAGTTACTATCTCACAACAGACCTGGTTGAACTCCACTGGTCACTGTTTCTCACTAGAACTCCAGGAAATGCCTTTTAGATTGCAAATTACCTCATCTATAACAGTATTAGATTTTTGGAATGTCAAATGGCTAGTTATCCATGATTCAAGTCATGAGACATTGAACTTTTATATGATTAAAACCTTATTTTACTCGATTCCGCCAGTATTCCGATTTAAAACGTAATTGTTGTTGAAGATACAAGCGTCCAAAGTCTTTTTGACACGGTAAGTGTATGGAGCTGTAACTTAATGATTAAACTAACCGACAGACTTCGGGTTAGGCATTTCATTTGGTCTATTCTGACTTGGATAACTATGTAGTGTGTTAGTACTTTTCATACAAACACTGATTGATAAACGAGTACATATGCCAGTAATCGGTATTTGAGTATTATGATACATCAATGTATTAAATTAGTAACATAAGCTATAATTTTTTATTTGAACAACTCTAGCAAAAAGTAAAATTTGAATGAAGCACGGTAAACTAAGTAGTATGGGTTCACTTAATCGTCACAGAACTCCCTTGAGATAAGACAAAGAAATTATGCAATTATTTGTATTCATTTAAGTTACGTAGCGTCCAAACATAAAAGACAACGGATGAAAATTAACTGTTAAGCTACTACTGCTCTGCTAGGAATTCTTACATATAACTACCCAGTAGTTGTACATAATGTTTAACGAATAATCAATCGATTGCCAGTCAATGGTTAACAATATTATTTCATTCGACAAAAGATAAATAAAGCACAATACAGTAGACTAGGGAAACGTACTCATCACGTTCCTTCTCTACGCTGGGATTATTAATCCATATTACAAACGGATAGATTTCATCCATAACAAGTCTTTCTAACTGTATAATTGCACTTTCTACATTGTTATCATTTGTAATTGAATTATCCCGCAAAATATTCATTGATAATTGAGATACATCACATTTGTGGAATAATGATAATGTTGATGATGATGATAAATGCGTTGAAATGCAACAATCATTTAGACAAGATTCACGCCATTTACTTTTCATTTTATTAATTAATTGTGTAACAAGTTTTTGTACCATTTCAACACGTAATTTCGGATCACAAGACAATTCATCACTAGTGAATTCTTGATGAAATTCTATGAATAATTTTCTATTTTGATTAATAAATTCCAATAAATTTCTATTGGTAATATATTCTTGTTGAAGGTGTATAGACTGTTGTAACCTTGGAATAAAAAATAAGACACAGAAACGAAAATTAATATTCAAATCAGTAAGCCTGGCACGAAGTTTTGTTACCCCAATTCATCATACTACATTGTAACAATGGTATGAAATTGATGTAATAAACTCCAAAGAAGTTTAAATAATTATAATACCAATGAAAGTGATAAGGACTGAACTTTGAATATAATTCAAGAACAAAAAATTGAAATTAAACACTAAGTTGACAACGGAAAACGCGAAGAGACTGTCAGTTTATGACATGGGGGTGTAATATGAAAGATAACTTTATAGGACTAGAATATCTCGATTTGTCATAACTTTTCAGATGGAATCCTAGAAATGAGGCAACTCAATGAGGTATTACCAAACATGTCCCAAAATAGAATCCATAGGAGAAACTACTGTAGTTTTCTTTTAAATGTCTCATAAAAGTAAGTAGGACTTTTTTAACTGCAAGAGATCTCACCTAGTTGCATTTTTAGTAATACTCCTTTCTTTTTTTACTTTATAAAGTTATTTCTTTGTTTTTGTGGGGCATACTTATTTTGAGGTATTGTTACACCAGAATTCATAGGTATCCGGTAAAATTATTAAAAATTCAAATCACTGATCTCAACCACTTCAGTGAAAAGTTCACTTCTATAAATTTATGGAGTTTGAAGAGAACGGTACTGGGTTCGAGTCCCAGAGTGAACATCAACTCTGAGATGCAGGTGCATCCAGA